GTGATCATTTTGTCCAAATTGACAAAGAATGTCCTTAGTTAAACTAATTAATTATCCAAAGGAAGTTGTGTGTTGTCATCAAAGAATTTAAAAGGTCAGAAACTTTCATTCAAATTCAACAACACATGGCATCCACCCGAATAATAGCCAAATACAGTATCGTTATCGTCACCGTATCTCACACCGCTTGCGAATCGAATTCAAACGCCATTTATTTGGACCAATTGGAAAAAAGCTAGTAAAGACCGAGCACATCTGTTGCTAGGAGAGTGACGACAGATCCCCGAGTCGAGACCAGTTTCACTTGTAGTACCGCCTCGGCGCCTCTAGGAGGAGATGGTGCGCTTTGGACGTACAAGAGGCCCGACTAAATAACGTTTTTAAGCCTCCTTGTCCTCATTTTAATCACCATGCAAATCTTATCTAATAAAGAAATGATAAAAATCTACACCCTGGTGGGTTGTGCGTGCTTATGGGGTAGTATTTAGGCAATTTTTTGGAGCGTGTGGGAGACAAAACGTGGCTCTCCTCCTTGAATCTGGCAACAAAGGCGTGGCGTGGATGAAAAAAATGGCTATGCCACCAGCTACAAGACCCCACGCAGAGAATTTTAAACAATATAATGCGTGGAAAACGCTCGTGGTTTTAAAAAAAAAAAAACAACACGAGGCCTTCGTGGGATGGGATTCATTAAAAATGCAATTATTATGATAATGGTTTCATTTATTAAAATGAATAAAGCATATGGTCCCAATAAGTGATCGTCGGCGTATATCGTATTTTAAACACGAGTAGCGTTCAAATGGCTGGGGGGGAAAAAGTGGAAAAATAGGCAACGTGGTGGCCACTTTCTCCTGGATGCCGGTGAGCCGAGGATAGAAACACGCCATTGACGCAACACATTGCCCCCGTCGCAATTAACACTTTAAATAATTTACAATGAATATTACCTGGCCATTAGTCTTGGCCGCAGCCTCGCCGGGCTTCTCCGCCGCGGCTTCCTCCTTTCCGGCGTTTTTGGAGATTTGTGCTCCCATGCTCGTTCAACAAAGGGAAACCGAGCGATGAAATGAATGAACAAAGACCGCGGACGTTTTTTTCCTCCCTAGCGAAACAATCAAAACGCGGCGACTTCCTTTTCCGAGCGAGGCAATAAAGGGCAGCCGCACGGAGGTTTTTAGCCGGTAAAACGTGTTTGAAATACGGGAGAACAATTGCAAATGAAATCTCGTTTTTCCTCTCTCGCTCTATCCCTCTCTCTCCACCTTTTTTTGTAGGTCGTGTGGAGTTTGAGAAGCTGAGAAATTGGCCTCACCGCGAATGAGATGCGCCGGAGTACAACGCCCAAATCGGCACATGAATGGACGTCCGGATGGTGACGTCACGCTCGGCCAATCACAAAGCGGGCAGACGAGCGCGCGCGCGGGGGGGCCATCTTGAAGCCGGCCTGAGAGGACAATAGGAGGGACAACAACATGGCCACACTCATACAAACTTCATGGCCACTTCACTTCCGAGTGTGGACATTTGTTCGGATTTTGTTTGTATGTTTGTTGTTCATAAAACAATATATATAACACGTGAGGGGAAAAGGCATAGTTTTCATCCATATAGTCAGTAGTCACACAACACAATCTAGGCTGAGGCCTAACCTATGACTTTTACTACAATACAAACCTTTGAGTTATCTATTCAAATGAAAATGATGTATATTAGTTAAACAAAGAAGAACAATAGCTAGATAGCTGCAATATAACACTTCCACTCAGAAGTGGAGGACAAATGTCAAATAATCCATGCACAAATTACAGAACCATGCACTTGTTGTCGCTGTCCTGGGACAAGATGTTACTAGCTGTAGTGGAAGTGATTCCAAAATGAACTCATTACCTTATCATTACCATATTTATTTATGTAGCGCTTTCACAAGGTATGTTCTCACTTTTATGCATGTTTTTTTCAATGTTTTCAGCTATATGGAACTTGTCACTCAAACCAAGATGTTTTCATCCCGATTTTGCCCAATGCTAGACTATTTTATAGTTTGCTTTATAAAATTGTCCTTAAATCTTTATTTGTGCGCTATGTAACAGATAAACAATCTTTTAAGGTTTGACAAATCCTTATGTTTGTGGCAAAGCCCGACTCATATTTCTTTTCAAGAAAATGACTAACTCTTTTTCTATTAAGGCCTATGCATGTAGCTTAGTTTGTCATTGGCCAGTAGTATAGCGGCTAACACAGCTAGCACTCCAGGGCAAAATCTCTTAACTTTAGCATTGAAATGCAACCTTGACTCATATCTAAATCTGAATTGAATATCAGATCATAAACTTTCAGAGAGGTATTTGTGGTTCCTGGTTAGGATACCTTTTTTTTCTTTTTTCTTTTTTTTTTTAAATATCAAGGGCCATTTCAGTTCTCCAAAAGTCCTGCACTAATGATAAATGCAAGACATATGCTCACCACTTGCCTCTTCTTGCATAATAGCATCTTATCTGCTTGTTGCAGCTGGAGCTTCCCGGTGACCCACATCTAATGAGTTCACATTGCTGCCTGACCCAGCCAGCCCTCAGCACTCGGACTCCACCGGCAGCAGCAGCTACCATCACTACGTGACCCACATCTCCATGGTAACAAGTCCAAAATGGCACCCGGCACATGGAGGGCTCGCAGAGGAGTGAGAGTGAGTTCACGCAGACAAACGGCGCAGGATTAGGGTGACTTTTCTGCACCCGCCCTCCCGTGCCACTCTCCTGGCGAAGTAGGCCATACTTCATTGTTTTCCTATCGAGATGACATGCAAAGCTGCCATTTTCACGCCACACTGCCATATGAATATGTAAACTCTGAGGGAGGAGGCGGGGGGGACAAAGCTAGTCGAGATTGGGATGTTCGACACCCAGACTGCTGATTCACATCTACGTGAATTTTGTGTGCGTGCCTGCAAGATGAGTCTTAGGCACGCTATTACCTTAAAAAACCCCTCTCAAGCAAAACACAAAATCATGTTTTTTAAGTAGATATAGCAGATTTATATGACTACTTTCTTCATTCATCCAAAAACATGCTTTATAGAATCAGTCACTGCACATTTAACAACCTAAATTAAAGATGTTTCTTCAAATATAAAGGTGAAATAAATACATATAAATTGTAGGCTGTGTTCCAAATTACTCCCTAGAGGATTAATAAGTCTACACACCCCCGTTTGAATGCCAGGTTAAAAAAAATACAAATTAAATATTTTGCCACATGTTTTTAGGAGTGACAAGATGGGGTAATTATGAACAATTTGAAATGGCTGTCAGTGTTCGCACAAATCCTTCAGGCTTCCGCTAGAAACCCCGAAAAGAAAATGTCATGTAATGCCTACTAGAACAGCTAAACTTTATATTGACAATAAGTTTAAATGGTGGCAGATGTATGCTGATTCCCATTTCACTTGAGCTTCAATGTGAGTGATTAGTTCTCAACACAGCCACGTTCCCAGTTATATGTCGGTGACGGTATGTATATAATTCCCCGCTAAAAGACATTTCATTTTTTTGCCTTTGAGGCGGACAAGTTATAACCCACATTAACGGTAGAATAACCTTTGTCGTTTTTAGATTAAAAAACATGTCATTAAAACAAGGGTCTGTAGACTTTTTGTATCCATGGTAGTGCAGTCATATTTATTTAGCACATTTCATTCACAAGGCTATTCAATGTGCTTTACACAAACAAAGGCAAAACACGTACAAGCATTTACAAAAACAACAGCTAACGACATTCACAAGCAAAATATGGAAAACAAACATATCTTACAAAAATGACCAGAACATACAACGACGCCATTTAAACACATTTAAAGAAAACTTTCAAAAAATTTAAAAGCAAAGTAAAGAGATAAAAGTAGGCTTCTAAAATATCTTCCAAAAATATTTTGAATTGTTATGAAGACCTAAATCAAAGGTATGGGCAAAACTAAGACTATGGATAAAGTGCCGTAATGGAGAGAATCATCATACTACATATAATGTTGATAGTGACACACTAATAACATACTCTATGCATTTATATTTATTAATATAAACCTTACAAACATACCCATAGTTAAAGGAATTGCATCATCATGGCCACGCAACCATGTTACATACTACTCAGAATGCATTCCGATGCCAACAACAATGGTGATGTACAGGTAAAGTTTCTCCAAAATGTTTTAAAATGGAAAGTATTTTGGAGATTTTGGTGTGAGTATGACGTTGCTAGCAACTAAATAAATTGTATAGAACAAGCATGCCATTACAGTCAGTGTTCCTTTAAATATTATCCAAACCTTGTAAACACGAAACAGCAGCTATTCAAATGAATTGAATGATTGAATGAATCAATGACTGAATAAATAAACAAACTAGAGCAGACCATTTGCAACTTCACCCAGGATTCAAGTCAAGTCAAGTACAACTTTATTGTCAAATGCGCTGGATGTGAAATTTCTTTTCTCTCAACCAGACAAGACAACAAGAGGAGCCGCTGCAGGTGCCCGCGCTGCCATCAAAAGAACAGTTAACATAAAATGACAAAATAATACGACACAACACATAAGACACAGACAGTCGTGCATTCAGTCACCACAAACCAGGGGAGAGGAGGGGAAGGGGAAGAACGGAGGGAGGGATTTGCTTCCCATTGTAGCACTCGATTGCCCGAATTTACTGTCAGTCAAAACTTACACTCCAAAGCACAATTTACGCTAGCCAACTGTAGACGGAGCTGTTTTTTAAAGTAAAAGCACAGCGCGTCACGCGAGGTCTTTTCAGCCCTTAAACATGAACTTAGTTGTGTCCGTTTTCGCTTAATATTTTGTCCAATTTTCGAATAGTATTCTTAATATTGTTGTGTTGTTTTAAGCCGAAGTTGGGCTACTTTCAACCACGAAATGCTATCTCTGTTGCTCGGTCTATTTTTATTTTGAAATGGTAAAACCGGATAAGGTATTTGTTATTACAGATTTCTTGACGTCCACTCCCCGCTTTCGTCACGGGCGTATGTACGCACAGCAGCTCCAAGAGCTCCTGAGACGGCAGGGACAGGAACCGCTATTCTCTCTCTCCCTCTCTTTCCATATCTCATTTCTCTGTGTTATCCTGCCCCTAGGAGAGATAAAAAACAACTCTCCATATAAATATATATCGGAGGGAGGTAGCCGAATCGTCACCGGCTGGAAACTCCGATGGATTAGTTTTAAATAACCCCTCCCCACACCTCCCACCTCCTCTCCGGTAAGCACGTTTCGTTTAATTTTCCCACTCACGAGTTGCATTTCAATTGCTTGCACCGCCGTTTTGGTTTTTGTTTGTTTTCTTTAAATGGCAGACACACAGGCTACATATATAAAGATCTATTAGCGCGGGGTGATGATGTTTTTGCAGTGGGATTCCGTAGATGGTGGGGCTCTAGCGTTGCAGCAGCTGGGATGGGGATGCACTGCAGTCAGAGCCGCGCCGACCGCATCGACAGCACACAACAAGGCCCCCGCAGACAGCCTCCTGTTGATTTAGCCGCAAATAATTGCCCCCCATTGCCAATCGAAGCTGCCCCTTAATCGGGTTATGTGTGTCAAGTGTGTGCAAAGGCGGCACGTCCATCTTAACACTGGAATCAAACCACTGATGATGAGGAGGAAGGAGGAGGATGACTGGATAGACGGAGCAACGTGCATGCAGTCATAAACATAGCGGGGCAGCAGAGGTGGAAAAATTACACACTTTCAGTAGAAGTACAGTTTTTAAAGTACGAGTACTGATTCCTTTCCTTTATGTAAGTCCAGATAAAAAGTACAAGGCTTCATCCACCCATTTATCCACCGATCCATTTTCAGTACCACTTGTCCTCGTTCAAGTGAAGGGTGACCCACAAGATCCTGTCCCAGTTGATTTTGTGCAAGAGGCAGGTTACAAACTGGACTAGTCATCGCCCAATCGGAGAATTCTACTGTCGATTACATTGTTCCTTTCTCATATTGGTGAAACGCTATTCGTAGATTTGATTTTTGGAACCCGTCCTCCGTTATCCACTGAAAAACTCACGTGACCACGATCTTTGTGTGCAAGCCAAAGCCCTGTCTAATGTAAAAGTAGTGCCTTACCCCCATCTAGTGGCATCAATAGGCAGTTATAAACTGCACAAGTGCTCCATGACTCTGTATGTTTGGGTTTTTTTTTTTTTCAGATCGGATGGAGTATTTTTGAATGCCAGAAACTCGTGGTTATCAGACTGAATGAATTATTCCGGTAAATGAGGTTGAGCAATTCTCTTATGTAAGGCAATGGAAGGGGAATATCTTGATTTTCCTGCTACGTTCTCGCTCTCTACTTACATATTTTTTACATCATCACATCATCCACAGAAGTTGAATACGGCTATTTTGAGAACGTCAGGAGTAGAAAGTATCATCAAGTATCAACCGTCCTGTGGGGAGTTTGCATGTCGTCCCTCTATTTGTGTGGGTTCCCATCATCCCAAAACATGCTACACGTTAGCCAACTTGAAAACCAAATTGTCCACAAGTGTGAGAGTGTGAATGCTTTTTTTTGTGCCCTGTGATAGTTCAGGGTGGCGATCAGTTCAGGGTGTTTCTTGCCCAACAAATACCCCTGAGAGAGACTCCAGTTACCCGCCACCCTTAATGAGAACAAGTGCTCTAGAAAATAGACGGTTGGATGGATTAGCACCAAAAGCAATTCATGTTACACTATCACCTTAATGAGCACGGACGTCAGAGCTTGAGCTGAGCATGTCTAGTATGAGCATGGCTTATTTGTGTGGCTGAAAGAGAAACAGAAATCGACTGAAAGGAGCTTGACTGGCAAAAGGACTTGTTGTTATCAAAGTCACAATGGGCATCTGTTTGTCTTTGTTTTTTTTTTGTATCGCTGTCATGGATGAAGTTTTGAGAGAAAAAAAAAATGCCTCGAAAAGATTATATCAAACAAAACAGGACTGCTCACCAATCAATTCGACACAGTTGACGGAATTCGGAACGATTTAGTTGATTACTACGCCAATCCCGATCATACAGTGTCAATGTGAGACCCATTTGGACTTTCCGAAAGTCATTCCTTAATTCTTCTGCCACATAATCATTGCCCGAAGCGCAGCACATCATTATTTCCAATGTTTTGCTGCAAGAACCGTTGCCCTCTTCCACCGGCAAAAGTTGTGGAAACAAGTTTGAACAAAAGTTGAGGGGGGAATTCTCCATTTTTTTCCCCCCATTTTCACTTTCTTTTCTATCACACGCCATTTTATTTTCTTGATCTTACAAACGGTATACAGTAAACCCTTGCTTATTCATGGTTTACTCTTCACAAATTCATAAATGCCCGAACAGGCTACGAGATGGCACCAAAAGTCCTGGATAAATAGGAAAGTAGTAATTGGTGTCAAGAAACAATGTGGAATTCATACTGCACATCTGGACTGAGAGACCAGCTTTCTGTGTTGGAGGGAGGGAAAATCAGCCTTTGTTGTTGGTAAAAGTTTTGGATAGTCTTTCCTGCGTGAACACGACAGGCGCACATTTTTTCAAAATAAAATCTGGAAGACATCTGATTTTAAGGTTACTGTTGGAAAATGGGCGAGACGTTGGTCGACTGGTTACCACGTCCGCCTCACAGTGCAGAGGTGCAGGGTGCGATTCCGGCTCCGGCCTTTCTGTGTGGAGTTTGCTTGTTCTCCCCGTGCCCTCGTGGGTTTTCTCCGGGTACTCCGGTTTCCTCCCACATTCCAAAAGCATGCATGGCAGGTTGATGGAACACTCTAAATGGTCCCAACGTGCGATTGTGAGTGCGAATGGTTGTTCTTTTATGTGTGCCCTGCGATTGGCTGGCGACCAGTTCAGGTTGTACCCCGCCTATTCCCCGAAGACAGCTGTAATAGGCTCCAGCACGCCTGCGACCTTCATGAGGAAAAAGCGGATTAGAAAATGGATGGATGGATGTTGTAAGATGTGTTTGGATTGATTGTAAAGACTTTTGCAATCATATTTTGTGCTATATTTACAATGTAAACAAACATTTTTTGGGAGGAGGGAGGTGGGTCAATTCCTTTCTTTTTTTTACGATTTGTGGTGGGGCTCAGTTCCAAGTTGTTGATTTCCAATCCCAGGTGAAGACATCTGTGAAATAACATCAACATAAAACAAAGAGAATGATACTTCATGGTAATGCTAACTGGCATCTATTTTGCAGGGCTGTGACGCTTTAAACATTGGATTGAACACAAATTTTGCAGCAACCCACGAATAGGAGTCCGTCTTATATTCTTTGTCCTCTGTCACGGACGGCCCGTACTAGTGCTGTATTAACGAGCTGAGAGGAGTTGAGATGAACTGTATATCTGCCTTTGTGTGTTCGTGCGTCATTACTGTGTTTTTTTTCCATAAAGCACAATAGTTTGAAGTGTTATTTTTCCTCATTAAAATACACATTCCATCATTTTTTTGTTGACCCCAGTACTACTACTGTATTTTAATGTTGGTCTTTATGGTGGTATTGTGGGTCACAAGTTTCACACTCACTTTGTTAAGAAGCACCGTTGGGCTCGATAGCACACATCGACTTTGTGCGAGGCTCAGCTGTGAATTTATTTTTTTATAACTGGGTCTTTTCATGGCAATCACTTTGCAAGAGCAACACTGCCCGGCATTGTCCGGCTAATCTTGTAGCCTGGTGAAATGCAGCCATTGTCTTCTTGTTAATACACTGAATGAAGTCGCTTGTCTGACACAAGCAAATATTGTAACGATTCGGTGGGGCGGTGCCACCATATAGTGGGAGATTGTGGAGTCCGGTCAACACGCGGGCCGAGAAGTGACGGTCACATTTTAGTCTTGCATTGCGCGGTTGAATAAGGTCACGCGTGACGTCAGTGGAAGAAGGGTTGTGGGAAGTGTGACCCCAGTCATGTGAGCGCAAAGGGACCCCTACGCTTCAAGCGGACGATTGCAAAATAACTTTATGGTGACGCAGTTTATGAAGACCACAACTTTTTTATGCAAGTTTTTTTTTTTGTTGTTTTGAAAGATTGTAAATATTTTCTCTTGGTGTTTTATTTAAACACATAACTTGCTATTATAGAGAAAAACTGAGATCAATTTTGGATTCTGCAGCCCCCCAAAAAAGTTCAAAACAGCTGTCAGACATAAATGTCAGTAGGTTTTCCGACTTAAATTCATTTTTAAGGCCAAAAGAATATACGTGGGTTTTTTTGGGGTTTTTTTTTTTCCGTGTAGGCTCACACACACTAACGGGCGATGGTCCTGTTGTCACTCATTAGGCCACACCCCGCCAAAAACAACACAGCTCAGTCGCGCAGTTGTTGGTTCTTCCAGATTATCCCAAAGTACAGTAATTACGCTTCATCATTTTGTATTCTGGTATACTTTGTTTTTTAAATACAATACAGTGCCATTTTTCTTTCGAAAAAATCTGGGAAAAAAATGAATGCAATTTCAAATCTACAAGTAACGAATTGAATTGAACTAGTTAGCCAAGGCTTACTGCTAGCACACGCTATTATCCACTTATTTGACTCATTTTGGATGATCCCCAGCTTGGTTTTGAAATGGCATATTGGAAAAATGCGGTTTTGTGCACGTTCTCCTTTGGCAGCTTACATCTGAATTTCCATGACTGCCGCAACACTTCTCAATTTACAAGAAAGACAAGATGTAAGACATGTGAATCCTTTTCAACACGAAGCATAATCTTTGCACCTCTGCCAGAGCCAATGGAAGAAAAACTTTTTTTTTGTGATGTTGTAGCAATGTTAAACATATTAGTCTCAGTGGCCTGCAGACAGTAAGACATCAACGACGTCATAAAATGCATGATTTGTGCGGTATGCTAATAGCAGCCATGCAAAAGTGCAAAAGTAATGAGATTAGCAGTGCACGTCTACATTATTCCACGCTATTATCAAAATTGTTTCACTGTATCTTGCACTGGATTTGACACACTGCGTTGACCCTGACATGACTCGCCTTTTAATTTATGATATCGATCTCACAGCTTTACTATAAATGGACTTGTATCTCATTGCGGCTCCCAGCACGGTGCGTGTATGTGCGCTCATGCCGAAATGAAGGCTTTTGTTTCAGTGAATTAATTTCCAGTTTAGAATGATCAACTGTCGTCTTTTGAGGCCCTGCATCCGAAATCACATCACATGTTATTACTTTTGTTAAAAGCTCATAATCACCAAAATGGCTTTCAAGCTTTTTTCCCCCCCACTATGTCATGCCATGAGTGCGGCCTCCGCTCGGATATAATAAATACATTTGTCGGACTGTGCTTGCTTTTTGTTCTGTGCCCCACTTCAATTAATTTCAGGATGATGTCTTTGAAGGGGCAATTAATTTGAAGTTTTTTTAAAGCATGTTCGACCAAAAAAAAGATTCTCACCCAGCAGAGAAAGAGTTTCCAAACAACCTAAATCAGGGGTGTCAAACTCATTTTTGTCACGGGCCACATTTTAGTTACCGTTTTCCTTGCAGGGCTGAAACCATATAAAGAAGTCAAAAATAAATGTTTATTCATCCATTGTTTAAGTTACTGAAATAAGGGGTTTGGTAACAAGAAAATGCTTATAAGTATTACAAATGAGAATTTCAAATTTTGGTAGCGATTTTAGCACGCATCATGAAAGTTGCCATCTTTGATTTGCTTTCGCGGGCCACATAGAACGATATGGTGGGCCAGATCTGGCCCCCGGACCTTGAGTTTGACACCTGTGACCTAAATGATCTTGGAGATTCGGCGATTTCAGTGTTTTTAATCATCTCAGTTCTATTTGTTGTCTGGAGAAAAACTCCACACAGGGAAGGCCGGAGCCGGAATCGAACCGATGACCTCCGTACTGTGAGGCAGTCGTGCCAACCACTCAACCATGACATGAACACAGGTTGGGGACTGTTGGTGTAAATGAGACCAAAGCCCCATTTTCAACCTCTATCTTGAGAATGATCGAGCACCATGTGAAGTTTTCTTTCTGCCTGCGTCTTAGGCTGAGAGTCTTCCCGACAATGTGGGTCAGGATAAATATTGGACCCGGGCCACTTGTCACAAGAACTTGGACTCCTCGGAGGCATTAGAATAGCGTGACGTGTTCAGCTACAATGCTATCATCTGTTTTTCTTAGAGCGGGGAGGGGATTGTGGTTGTCATGACGTACTGTTTCCCTGCCACGCACAAAAAAGACAAAACAAACAAACAAAACATGTAATCGGGGCTTTCGTCTTGACATGTGGTTATTCCTGGTAGCGTCATGTGTGTCACTGACTCCGGAGATATAATTTGTCAGCTGCAACTTTTGATTATATTAACAAGTGGAAATGTGCGAAATCAGCCTGTTGCCTTCAAAGGCGCGCCCATAAATCTGTTCATCCGCTCCAAGGAAAATGTCCAAAAGACGCCGCGCACGACTGCGAGACACATTCACTGCAGTCACATGCCCACACAGACGTGATTCGTATGCGCGGCCAAATCAGAAAGACAGCGTATGTGTACAAACAGGACTAGATTGCCGAATGGGATTTGGGGATATTAACGCTCTGGTGGCCGCTGGCCTCGAATTTATTTCAAGAACATCTTTGTTATTCCATATCGATGGTATTGCATTCTGAGATCTGTCGTTACACCCTCTTTTCTGAGTCAGTGTTCATTGCCCTTGCGCAGTCTCCCCCCCCCGCCAGAATGAGCGTGGAACAAGGCCAAGGGGGCATTTTGGGCTGTTTTCGCTTGTAAATGCTAAACAGGGCCGAAGGAATTCAGTCACAAACTGTGTTGCTTTTGGCTCGTAACTGGCATGTCGGAGCGCCACTGTCATCCCCGTTACTGTACTGGAAACTATTTTCTCGATGGATGAGTACAACATTAAGAATTTGAAACACTTCCTCGCAAGATAGTTGTCACGAGGTGAGCACGTCTTGACACAAGAGTCTTTACCGTGGATCGACAATGGAGTCTTTAGCAAAAGATTGCTCCTGTTGGCATGTCGCCATCCTGAGTCACTCGAAACAATTAGCCATTGCCCCGTTCAACAGGCTGTTAATGTTGATGAAAGACAAATGAGCTGTCTGCCATCTTCGGCAAATAAGCAAACAGGCTTACTCATTCGCCGGTCCGTCATTCATCATATCCGTCAGTGGCCCGGGTACCCGTCTGTCATCGTCAGTCCATCATTATTTTTCAAGCCCTGTGTAACTGTAATCATCAGTCAGTCAGTCCGTCATGTGGGTTCAAGTGCGTTCCCGTCATCGCTTCTGTGAGTAAATTTCACCGATCCGCCATTCCGTCCCTTCAATACGCAAATAAATATCACATCATGAGAGGTTGTGCGTTCTCTGACGTTTTAACGAGACCGAAGCGTGCGTGAGCAACGGGCGAGTGTGGCTGCGAGCGAAAGGAAAACATAAGCAAATGGCACGCCAAACTTGTAAATGCAATGGCGGGGTGTAAAGTCTTCCGGCGAGTGTGGCTGTGCTGCTCGAAAAATAAAGTACAGCTTGTAAAAAGGCCTTAATGGCGTGGTTTCTCACAACGTACGACGATTGGTCGGACGCATTACAACTTGGTGGCACTAATGAGAGGCATCACAAGATTCTGCCATTTCAAAGGCAACACAGGTCCATGTCTTTGACTGTCACATTTTATTGTGCTAGTGTGGCATCTTTAGGTCATGATGGAAAGAGCGCAAAACGTGAAATGGTGAGGGTTTGGGTTTTTTTTTTTTTTTTTTTTTTTTGTGAAAATGCACAGAGGTGAATTTGTATATTGATAATTGCCAACTTGCACAATAGAAAAAAACAAAACAAAACAGAATGACGGGGCCGAAAGTCAAGATATTTGTAGAAAGTCAGTGTCAGTGCATGAAGAAAAGATGATTCAGTACAGCTCCACCACATTATGTTCTACTGTATAATTAGTTGTGCAGCTTAAAGTATGGTGTTTAATTTCAGCCTAATTGAAAGATTGTTCAGACGACCAGTTCTGAGCCTCCGAGGAAGCTGCTGAAATAATGGAACATTGAATCATAATTTCCCAACTGGCGTTGGCAGCTATACTCACCCCCCCCACCCCACAGAACCTAGAGAATGGGCTGCGTCCAATGTAAGGATAAAGACGCAGCAAAACTCACCGACGAGCGCGACGCCAGCCTCTCGCACCACCCGGGCTACCGTTATGGCGCCGACCCCACGCCGCAGCACTACCCCCCAAACTTCGGGGTCACCAGCATCCCCAATTACAACAACTTCCACGGCGGAGGCGGAGCTACGCAGGGGGTCACCGTCTTCGGAGGCGTGCACACGTCCTCGCAGTCCGGCACGCTGCGCTCCCGCGGAGGAACAGGTGAGATTTCATCCGTAGAAAAACACACCCGGAGGGGCTTTTGACAGCTGTTTTCATTTAGATTCGGCTTCGATGAGCGTTTGTACTCTGTGTTATTGCCACAATTAAAAATGCTTGTGAAAATGTGTTGAGAGGCGCTGCCTGGAAGGCCTGAAAGCTGTTGTGATAATCCAAGAGTGGTTTGGTGATGAAACTCAGAAACCGTTCAACCGTTGCAAAAACAAGGCGCATGGTGTGAAGGTCGTCGTAAATATCCAATTTTTTCTCGGCCACAAATGAGTCACGTAACTTGCTCTGAAACCTCATTATCAGTGAAAAGAGAAAAAAAAATCATCGGTGCCACTAGGGGACCGTATAGGAGGACCAGGCCCGGAGTGAGTAATCCAAACGTCCTGGCAAATTCCCGCTGAGCTGGACTGCAATATACACTGATGTAACGTAATCGGAATATCGTTAAAGCTATTTTCGACTGCTCTACTAATAAGCGAAACACGGATGTAAACAATCAATCGACAGCAGCATCTTGACCTTATGCAAGCGTTTGTAAAAATAATTGACGTCTTGTTTAAATACAGGCCTGGTACTCTCTGTAGTTGAGTCACTAAATTCAGCTGGTCACCATGTGAGAAAGACGTCACTAGGCACAACTTTAACTCATTCACTCCCAAAGACGTTTTTAAACGTCTTTTCAGACTTGGTATAGAATTGGCTGGTACTGAATGAGTTTTAATGTGCTAAAAAAACGCTTTTAGAAAAAAAATCAGTCTGATAGTGCTTGTGCTTTTGCATAAATCCATCAAGCCAAACCGTGAGCTGTTACGCCAAGTGCAGGAGTCAAACCCAAGTCAGAGTGTCGTCTCCGAAAACCAAAATGGTGGCCTGAGTTTACTATTTATACCTGCTTCCACCACTTCCTAAAAGCCAGAAGAAGTCTCTTTGGCAGAGGAGCGTCAAGCAAAAAAAAAAAAAAATGTTGACTTTACTAAACCGAAATAAAATGCCACGCGTCAGCAAGTCCTACTTATAGTGGCACATTGCAAACCACGTTAACCGTTTGAGTGCCAGCTTGCAGAAACTCTGCCCTACTTTTCGGGATTAACGAATGAGCCGAAACGAGGCCCGTCACCTCCGAAACATTTTGTTTTGCCATTACCCGCCACTCCTAATAGATTCATCGAGCCAGCGCAAGATGGATGTCCACTAGTTGCGAGTTAATGGAAAACAGCGTGACCCAAATGATCCCTGGAGCTCCGTCAAGCACATCTGAGGACGAGTAAGCAGAGACACGGCACAAGCGCGTGTTGCGTTACATGTACACGGGTGCATAAATTAACACCAGCTCTGACTTTGAAGTCAGCGCCCTTTTTCTCTGGAGTCAACAAATGATTGAACTGAATCCTTACTCTGTATGAAAAAGTCACCGTAGCGCCGTCCGCCGCATCCGGTGGGGGCACTGCCCTTCGAACAAAAAAAATCGCCACCGCTCGTGTTATTGGCCTTGAGTGATGGCGATTGCAACCAGATGACATACTGTCGGTAGTTCCTTCCAGATTCCAGACCTGCTGATTCAATGACAAAAACATAATACGGCCATAGCGCGGGATAAAAGGAAACAATAACACTAAAGATCAGAAGCCGCGTGTCGTTTGTGAAATAAAGCAGCAAATGAGATGAAAAGGGAGGGGGGGGAAAAAAGTGTGGGAGGCATTGACATTTCAGTGCCGCATATGTTCAGCATACGGACTGACCCAATGATGGAAACCACAAGAAAAAGCCGAGCATGCCAAGGCCAGACTTATCACGAGCCCTGCCGAGGTGGCAGCCGACTGAACCCTGACCACCCTTCTCATCCTCTCCCAGTAATGACATCCACAGGCCCAAAAACAAATCGACATTGACTCGAACCTGGCGCATAAGATGGAGCAAGTCCATCTGCAAAATCAGTCCCCTTTAGCGATGCGGCTTGGTTCTGCTTGCAGGGGTGACGCTGTTCGTGGCTCTGTACGACTACGAAGCCCGGACCGACGATGACCTCAGCTTCAGAAAAGGGGAGAGGTTCCAGATCCTCAACAGCACGTAAGCTTGAAAACATCTGCGGGACAGCACTTGAGGGCGGAGCTCCGATCGCATGATCAATCTGGAAATGGCACGCAAGGAGACCACTGGCAAATGTATTTTGGGGGGGGAAAAAAAGTTGTGAAGGTCCCAAGATAGAACAAGTAAGTCATCGTTGGGTCAGAGCTGGAGAACAATTTAGGCGCAAACATTTGTTTTCAAAAAAAGGGAGGGGACGATTTGAGGCATTTAATGTATATCACAGATCTATTTACAAATGAAGCCACTCGACCCATTTTGAATCCACTTCATGTTTCACTTAATTTAATAATTATTATTTTGCTCTGTAGCAGACATGAGAACGCACATTAGAAGAATTCCACTTGTTTTGGTTCCCAGTCGTGTCACATATTTGCGCTGATTGCAAGCCAAGGTTCTTTGTGCTCAAATGTAAGGATTGGCATTTGCTAGCCGGCCCACCAAGGGCAAATAGAGACAACACAAGTATTTGCAAATGAATGCCTACTCTGGATGAAATGTAAAACATTAGCAGTAGTAGCTAACAGGGAGAATATGTGCGGTTAGCCTTTTGGGAAGAACGAAACATCTTTGTAAAGAATGCCTACTCCGGATGAAATGTAAAACATTAGCTATAGTAGCTAACAGGGAGAATATGTGCAGTTAGCCTTTTGAAAAGAATGAAACATCTTTGTAAAGAATGCGTACTCTGGATGAAATGTAAAACATTAGGCTATAGTAGCTAACAATGTTAATATGTGCGGTTATCCTTTTGGGAGGAACGAAACATCTTTGTAAAGAATGTGTAGCGTTTTGTATTGATTGCCAGTAGACCTGCACGGCTCCAAAGCGCCTCTCACTTCCTGTCTGTCGTCGTTCCCTACAGAGAGGGTGACTGGTGGGAGGCCCGCTCCCTTACCACAGGTGGAACTGGTTACATTCCCAGTAATTACGTCGCTCCGGTGGACTCCATCCAAGCCGAAGAGTGAGTATGATTTTTTTTTTTCTTCCCCCTTTCATATATGACACTCGCAGAGCCTGTCATTAATATTTCAGGCTTCATCTCACAGCATGTGCCGTGAGAAATGAAAGATAAATGTTTGAAAGGCATGACGCTTTACAGTCACTTTATTCCCGCAGCTGGTATTTTGGTAAACTGGGCCGGAAGGATGCCGAGCGACAGCTGTTGTCCAACAGCAACGCCAGAGGCACCTTTCTCATCCGGGAAAGCGAAACAACCAAAGGTACACATGCCAACTTTTTTCCGGAAACATACGTCGCAAAAGCAACATAGCTGGAGACCTCAGAGTGCAATTAAACACACACACACACACACACACACACACACACACACACACACACACACACACACACACACACACTTGTATCAAAACATACAGTTCCGTAATTGCATTTCGATGCCACAAAATGATGGCAGAGGACTACTTTTGTCTAAATGGAGCTCCTCAATTCACTTCTACACCAAGATGCCACCAGTTGGCACCAAACCAAAACAATCCTCTAATATTGTTCTGGCCTGACCACAAACACAGCAAATAGGTGAGTTTTGAAGGAATGACAAAGAAAAAACTAATCTGCAAATTTGCGAATGCCAAGCCGCGAAAATGCAAGGACTTGCTGTTTTAATTAAACATTAGCTTTAGCGTTATTGAAGTTTAGTTTGGTAACGGGCGACAGTTTGAGCTTGAAACAAATGAATTCACTCGACTTCTTATGGGACAATGTTGCAAATTTCGCTGTACTTGAATGACTTACACATGTGGCTTTTAAAGATGCCCATCTACTTTGTGTGTGGTCTCGGTTCCAGGGGCTTACTCGCTCTCCATCCAGGACTGGGACGACATCAAGGGAGACCATGTCAAACACTACAAGATTCGCAAACTGGACAGCGGCGGTTACTACATCACCACCAGAGCCCAGTTCGAGACACTCCAGCAACTTGTACACCACTATTCCGGTGAGCTTTCGCCGAGAGTCTACGTTTGGATCGGCGCCACATCGTACGGCGTCACAGATGCGCGTCTCCTTCATGTCTCCCGCAGCGAGGGCGGCGGGGCTGTGCTGCCGGCTGATTGTGCCCTGCCACAAGGGCATGCCCCGTCTGACCGACCTGTCCGTCAAAACCAAAGACGTGTGGGAGATCCCGCGGGAGTCGCTGCAGCTCATCAAGCGACTCGGCAATGGACAGTTTGGGGAGGTCTGGATGGGTAAGTCATCCTGAGAAAATTTACCAACAGCAGCAACTTTTAATCGAAAATTTGTCACCAAAATGACTGTTTACTAATTGAGCGGTATTCCTTCAATACTATATTATTGTGCTTTTAATATAAAATGCAGTTTCAAATAATAACACTGATTTATTATATACAGTTGGATGAGATAACATTGAATTAAACTCTTAAATGCAATTCTTTCAGTGGGCCTCAATTATATGCACATTTTGGCTTTTCGTGGCAGGTCCCAATCCCCCGTGAGTAATCAAAAAATAAAGAATTCTCTTAAATAGATTGGTTCATCTGCTGATCGGATCAGTGATCGGTTTAATTCTTTTAAGCTCACTGATCGGTGATCGGCTCAATGGTATGAATGGTATGAAGCCGTGGTTCCATGGTTCCATGCGAGTGGCAAAATATTGAGAAAAAAACGTTATATGATGCAATGCAATTCTACGTACTGCTAATTTGACGGCAAACAATTTTGACTGCCGTAAATTTTTAGCATGTTGTTTTTAAACCGCACTCACTGTCACACCGTGCAGTTCTACCAATTTGAACTCCAGTTCAGCAGTTTTTAATTTAAAAATAAAAATGTATCGTTTAATTTCAAGATTTTTTTTTTACTTCACTTCTATTTCGTTTTATGATTGTTTTATTTTACGTTGTATTGTTGGGCTGTTTCGTTTTGATCCTTGTTCTCTTTTATTATCCTTTAATTTGTATAACTTTTTTTTATGACGCGCCATTTTCGATTGCATTTTTAAACAGCTCTCTGTGTGTTCCACTGCAGTCAAGCAGTACGCCGCTGCAAGCTACAGCCACAATCATAAAAATACGGTGAAATAAACACGCTCATCAAAATGGCGTCGCCGTAAAAATAAAAGCGTTTTGATTCGTTTTATGAAAAGGATACTAAAATATCAACAAAATTGTTCACAACATGAAGAGTTCAGACTAAATGAGGAGGACTAAAGTGTTCAGTGAGCATCCAAATAATCTGTAACTGCAACTGTTGGCATTTTGCAGGCACGTGGAACGGCACCACCAAGGTGGCGGTGAAGACCCTGAAGCCGGGCACCATGTCGCCCGAGTCCTTCCTGGAGGAGGCGCAGATCATGAAGAAGTTGCGGCACGATAAGCTGGTGCAGCTGTATGCCGTGGTTTCCGAGGAGCCCATCTACATCGTCACAGAGTACATGAATAAAGGTACTGCGGGATGGCATCGAGATTACAACCCCCCCCGCCACCCCACATGTCGTGTACCTAATTCATGGGCGCATATGAACCACTCAGTAGGTGTCGTCCACATATAGAACATGTGCCAAGGCCAACTCTGACAAGAGCGATGACAGCAGGCGGGCTTCCCGAGCTTCGTCAGTCGCCAATAAAGCGTAACTTTAGTGGCACCAATCCCAGCACGGATCTCACGTCACTTGTTTTTCTTCTCCCTTTCTGTTCTGTTGTTTTGGCTCAAAACACACGCAACGTCAGACTTGATTTTACGGCAGCTCGGTGCTGCTTGCAGGCTGATTAAAAAAAAAAAAATTGTACAAGAAGTGAATTATCATTTCAGAGCAGCTTTTTGCAAGGGAAGCGAGTGTGTGTGTTTGTGTGTGTGTGTGTGTGAAAGGCAGCCAAATGCCGAGCAGTGAAGTTCAAGGGGAAATACACGTGCCAGTAAGGTGCTTTGTGACTCCTCCCACAGGGCACAACTTGGCCAACGAAATCATTTCTTCAAAACAGCTTTTTGCGAGTGGGTGTGTGCAAGTGGTGCAGAGCGAAATTCAAGCAAAATACACACACCCAGTCGCACAATTTGAAACTCCTCCCCGATTACATTTTTTATTCCCAGTACTGTACTTGTTTATGAGTGGAGTGAGTGTTTTTTTTTTGTGAGGCACGTGAGCGGTGAGAAGAGAAGTCAAGGAAATCCAGAGAGCAGTCACAAGCGTCGTCATTTTTATTCAGAGAAGCTCAAGGGAAAAACACAGCCTGTCACTTGCATTCCGATTGTGTGGTGCATTGCCTTAACTTCTCTCCTAACCGTTTGCACACCTCACAAGCACCGACTCACTCTACTTGCAAAAAAAAAAAAAAAAATGTAAATGCCTGGAGTTGTGACTGAGGGAGGACTTACAATTAATGTGACTATTCTGTATATTTCCTTGACTTTTCTCCTCACCGCTTGCCCACCTTGCACACACCCACTTGCAAAAAAAAAAAACAAAAAAACAACAACAACAAAAAAACAGAGTGTTTATTGACAATTTAACAGAAATTAAAAGAGTCAAGAGACACAAATGATATTGCGCTTTGTGTGTTTCAGGGAGTTTGCTCGACTTCCTCAAAGATGGAGAAGGGCGAGGCCTGAAACTTCCGAATCTGGTGGACATGGCGGCTCAGGTATGACATCAAAGCTAAAACTTTCACCGCTGTTCTTCAAACTATTGGACAAAGCAAGACGTTACAAAAACGCTTTGTAATTCGTAGGGTTGCCAGTGAAGTCCACTTTCAAACCAAATGACAGTGGCTTTTGTGCGTTTGTGAATTGTGATGAAACCAAATAACAGAGTCAATTTCCCAGGTGGCAGCCGGCATGGCGTACATCGAGAGGATGAACTACATCCACAGGGACCTGCGCTCTGCCAACATCCTGGTCGGAGACAGTCTGGTGTGTAAGATTGCTGACTTCGGTCTGGCCAGGCTCATTGAGGACAACGAGTACACAGCGAGACAAGGTAGATTACGCTGATGAAAATGGATTCATGCCAGCCATCTTCTCGAAAAGAAGTGTTTGTCCAGAGCTGATGTGTTCAGGTGTTGAGCGTCTGTCTTTGCCATTTTGGGGGATTTTCACAAATGAGCTTTTTCATTTGACGTGTCTGGGAAACAAATGCACACGCGGTCGCGGCATGGCAGCGCCACATAACGACGCCATAACACGTTTGCGTCTCAGAAAGGCAAAGAAACAAACAGATTCCAAGATTTGGGTGGAAAAAATTCCGATACCAGATTAACTGGCCATCACTCGTGCTACCCTTCAAAAAGACATTCCCTCTTTTTGAAGGATATAAATAAAAATGTATTGTGTTGTACTGCCTGAATGATTTGTGGGAAATTTATTCCACGACCTTGAAAATGTAAGTCCCACTTTTTGTAAACCCAAAAAATGCGAGGTTGACTTTTCTAAAATGTTTCAGATTTTTTTTATTAATCATTTGTAGGTGCAAAGTTTCCAATTAAGTGGACTGCACCCGAGGCAGCTCTGTACGGGAAGTTCACCATCAAGTCCGACGTGTGGTCCTTCGGCATCTTGCTGACAGAGCTTGTGACCAAAGGCCGGGTGCCCTATCCAGGGGGGGGGGACCACTGCTCTAGTCCTAATCCAGTGCTCTTGTAGTTCTTCTTTTGTCCCCTCGAGTCATCCTCACGTGCTCTTCTATTCATTCTCCGGTACTCCTCGAGTAACTCTTGTCCCACTCAAGATCTGCTCCCGAGCCCTTCCCTGCTTTTCCGGAGTCCTCCTGTGGTCCTCATTCAGTGCCCTCGTAGTACTCCTTTGCAACAGACAAAATAGCCAAAGATGGCCGCAAGCTAAACCAAAATCGGTTCAACACTCTAAAAATAGACGGTGGACCACTTTCCGTGTTGCGCGTGAGTGAGTTTTTCATGAATTATTAAATGTGAAACTCTGCGTCCTTCACTCCTGTCTCTGAAGAGATCACACTTTAGTTTGGTTAGTGATGTAATCCGCAGGTTTTGTCCTATCGGGGCAACATCACAATTTTACTTTCTTCAAGATGTTTTCATAATTGTAAACATAAGGCATGGGAGTACTACTTCCTGGTGTTCGAAAGTGACTGACTCCCGTTGACTTGAGCAGACTTCAGATAATCCCTAAAAGGTTGAAATTTGTTCTTATTTAGTTTAAAAAAAAAAAAAAACTCTGGGCGGCACGGCGGTCCAGTGGTTAGCGTGTCGACCTCGCAGTGCAGAGGTCACGGTTTCGATCCCGGCTCCGGGCCTCCCTGTGTGGAGTGTGCATGTTCTCCCTTTGCCTGTGTGGGTTTTCGCCGGGTGCTCCGGTTTCCTCCCACATTCCAAAAACATGCATGGCAGGCTGATTGAACACTCCAAATCGTCCCGAGGTGTGTGTGTGAGCGTGGATGGTTGTTCGTCTCTGTGTGCCCTGCGATTGGCTGGCACCTGGTTCAGGGTGTCCCTTTTACTGCCCGAAGACAGCTGGGAAAGGCTCCAGCACGCCTCGCGACCCTTTTGAGGATAAAGCAGTTCAGAAAATGGATGGATGGATGGAAAAAACTCTTTTTTTGAGGGGGCGGGGGGTTCTCCTACTCCCCCCAGATCTGTGATTGGCCATTCTTTTTTTTTTTTTTTTTTTTTTACTTGCTGATCAGTGATCAGCTCCAGAAACCTGATCGTTTTAAAGCTTCCTTTTAGTTTCACTTCAGCATAAGGACCATTGTGGCATCTATAACACAACATTTGTACGTTGTATGAAGCTTCAGTGCCTGACCTACATTACACAGTGAACAGAAAACAATATGGAACCACAATGATCCATTCCAGTCTGAATACGATCGCGCTTTCTGTTTTTCTTTCCGACGATGACGCCAAGCACCAAAATGCACTTTTTCCACCAGTACAGAAAAAGAAAAGAAATCACCATTTGACTACTTAAGGCATCACATCTCCCCCACTCCCCTCCCCTTCCCTGTGTGGTCCAGGCATGAACAATCGCGAAGTGCTGGAGCAGGTGGAGCGGGGCTACCGCATGCCGTGCCCACAGGACTGCCCCACATCGCTCCACGAGCTCATGGTGCAGTGCTGGAAGAAAGACCCCGAGGAGAGGCCCACCTTCGAGTACCTGCAGGCCTTTTTGGAGGACTACTTCACTGCCACCGAGCCTCAGTACCAGCCGGGGGATAATCTCTGAGTGGCTTTTCCCAACTGTCCAACAGAGGGAGCCACATACCCTGCTATCCTCTTTCTTGCACCCAGGTGACTAAAAAAAAAAAGCTGGTCTCCCAACCTCTTCCAAGCCACGCGCGCGCGCGCGCGCGCACACACACACACACACACACACACACACACACACAGAAAGGCAAGATGACTATAAGGAGGGACATGGGGCCTGCCATGGATGCAAAAAGACGACGGTGAGCTGTGTAACTTGTACGTAGTGTAAATACAAAAATTGCTTGTTTACTTCTTTCTGTTGGTTCCATTCGACATTCTACTTTTTGATATTTTTGGAAGCAGTTAATCCAAGGTGCATTGTAGGAAAGCTTGTAGGTAGACTGAAAAGATCAATTAAGGAGCTTGCCCACGTTCCTCCATTTTTTTCCTTTCTTCTTTTTTTTGTGTCAAATCATCACAATGATGCGCAAATGTTGACGCCTTGAGGTTGACAATTTAATGTCACCATCCTGTGTAAGATTCCTGCTTCCAATTCGGGCAAATTTCCTTATAGGAGTGCATCTAAGACTACGTTCATGCTGCAGGGCATGATGCCCAATTAGGATTTATTTATTTTATTTATTTTTTTGTTAAATTCAATCTTTGTATGTACTCGTTCACATTACAAAAACGAATGCGACATCAAGTGACACACACACACACTCACAAAACAACAACAACAACAAAACGATGATCACAGCGTTTACGGAAATAAATAAAATTGTGCGCATAGTGGCTCATTTGAGAATGACAGATGAGCACACCCGGAGCAAGTAGACCCATACATATGAAGAGGCCGTGGTCGGATTTGAAAAAAATAAAAATAAATCGTAATTGTAGTCTTCACATCACATGAAAAAAATCTGATACAAATCTCACATGGGCCAAAAACGGGAATACTGTAACCTGCAGTGTGAACATAGTCCATGTACGAGCCCTGGAATTCACTCATAATGGTTGCTACAGACTTTTTTTTTTTGTGCGTCCTCTTATGATTGACGTGTCCACCCAATTTTGTGTTGATTGATGAAAATGATGTCCGGGGCTGATTTCTTCGATTGTTTTTTTTCTTTTTGAAATTTCAACCGGCACTACTGAATGAGTTTTAGGAGGTCTTGTTTGAAACACGTAAAATATTAACACCACTTTCAATAGAATGATCACGCTTGGCTAAATTGTTGTAAAATGTTTTCTAACACGTTGAGGCCTCCAAAAAAGACTGTTTATGATTGGGTAACAATTATTTGGAGGGAAATCACCGAGTGTTTTGAGTTTTGCATTCCATGGAGAGTCATTAAATTTTGTCGCCATGCTTAGCCTGTGACGCAAACTCAAATTCCTCATAATTTGGTGTTTCCGTCTCCTTTGTGCACAAAATTCTCATTTGCAACAAAATCTCTTTTGTCATCCATTTTTTCAGGACTTCCCAAAAAAGCCGCAATTAGCATGAAATGGCACTTTTGAACCGAAACATCACAGACTTTGTCTTTTTGTTAGAAGTCTCTTGCAGCTAATTTGTTGGTCTACTCATGATAGATATGCCCACCAAATTTTACATTGCGAAATCAAACTGGCTTGAGGGGCTGAAATTTCAAAGACAAGTCTGTTTTTGAGGCACCCCCTTGAAACAGTCAAAATAAAGTGGGCACTTTGAACCAAAACGGCAGACTTCATGTTTCTCTTCAGGCATGGGTTCTTTGGAGGTTTTTTTTTCTGGCATGCCTCCCGAATTCCGTGCTAAGAATTGAAATCTGCTTTGGCGGCTGAATCCGATGGGGAGTTTGTATTTGAAGTACCCCTAGAAATGTCCAAAATGACCCCAAAATGGCTCGTTTGAGCCAAAATGGCAGACCCCAGTGTTATGGTTTTGTTTTTTTTTCCGGCAGGGCTTCTTGACACTTTTACTGTATGTGGGTCTACTCATGCCAGACATGCCTTCCATATTTCACGTTGCTATGACAACGGCTTTTGGGACTGAATTTTCCAAATCTGTAAGACCAGTCTATTCAAGAAGGACTCCTGGAAACGACCCAAAAATGGCCGCTTCAAGCCATAGGGTGGACTTCCTGTTTCTTTTCAGCCATGATTTCTTGAGAGTCTTTTGTGGGGCGACTCATGATAGAAATGGCTATCAAATGTCATGTTGCTGAGTAAAACCGGCTTCGAGGGGCAACGTTTTCTTTGTATTGTTTTCTACTTAGTTCATTGAATATTAACATGACCACTACATGTAATATCGCTAATACTGCTCCTTTTCGTTTTTCTCAAGGAACTCCGATGTACTATAATACCTGTTCTTGCCTTTTTCCTCTTGAGTAAGACTCTCCTATCGTAAAGCAGGGTTTCCTCAAACTGGATGCATTCCACAATTTCATAGGAATCAAAGACAAGGTGTGCTTGCTTGATGATCAATGACTGCCCCCACCCACCCCGCCCCTGCTGTAATTGCCCGATGCCAGTTTGGGAAACCCTGCTGCAAGGAAATGTCTTCTACTAATTGCCTAGTGAACTCTTCCACCCTGCCTCGCCACAAAGTGTGAATGCAAGCACTTGAGCGGCCATGCAAACAAGCAAAGAAAATTTTTTTTTTTTTTTTTTAACTGCCACTCAGAGAAAGCCAAACATGCGTTCGAGACCAAACATGTTTACATCCTTTCAGAGCATCGATGCCTGCAGCGCTTGGGAGCATTCCATGTCAACCTTTCCCGTGCGTCTTTTACGTTGTTTTACTGTATCTGTCATTATAATTTATTGTCTTATTATCTGTACATGGTTTGAAATTAAACACAAACACACACAAAAGGAAAAAAAAAAAAGAATTGCCATGGACCATTTTGTTGCGTCCTCTTTTGCAAAACCGCTGCAGAAATGTCAGCGGTGTGTGTACTCCAGCCATTTCGTTTTCTTCCCCTCTGGGCTTCATGTCAATCACTCAAAGCCAAAATGACTGAACTGAATGCAACCTGTATGCAAATCAGCAACAACAGCGTGTCCATCAGCCACAAGAATAAGGACAGATCGCGTTTCATTGACTGTCATGGCTGAACCTAGTTTTTAATCTATGAATTGTTTGTATTGCTAAAAGAAGGTGGGTGACAAGAGACTTTAAAATAGCATATGCAACATTTGAGGAGCCAAATGTTTGGTGTGGAAAAAGCCCCGAAAACATTTTACCGTCATCATATATCGTAGCTTAATCATTACATAATTTTTCAAAATTAGCACATGTGCATGAAAACAGATATTTCCTTGTCAAATGATGCCGCTCATCATTTTATTTGAACCCTTTCATGCACCCTTGTAACCTGCTAACATGACAAGCTGTCCACTGTAGTAACCGCTGTCCCGAAAGCGTTAAAAGTCAAACAAATATGTTGGAAATGTCCGTGGAATATCATCACAAAAGCTATTCTAATAAATTCAATTCATTCTTATGAAATCATTGTTGTTTAATATGTATTAAATACATGTGTGTACTACTCTAGACTGCGTTTCAAAAAAAACATTAAGGCACACTAAAGACACCCATTTTTTTGTGCTTTTGTACTTATATAATCAACAATGCAGATTATTTTTGACAATTTTTTTAAATCTTATTGCAATGTATTCTTTTGATTTTTTTTCCATAGTCATTTTCAAATATAAAGTAAAAATTGGTTAAATATAACAAACAGTTTTCCTTGAAAAAAGACACAACTTGGACATTAAAAAAAAAAAAAATCGAAGTTTACAAAGTTATCATAAAAATGGAATGGCGCCCTCATTAGTCATCGATAACGTATAAGACAGTATTTGGCTTCTAACACACACCATGGCAGTCAGCGGGTCGTAATTGGATGTGCGGCGTGTAGATTATTATTATTATTTTTTTAATAAGTGTTGTCATCGAAGCCTTTCTGGACAATCTGGCTTGGCAAGACGCTCAGCTATTTGCTGAGCCGTGATTGATTGGACTTGGGCGTGGAGAATTTGCATATAGCAGCAACGGGAGCAACAGCGCACGTACGCACGCACCCACACGTCGAGAATCCGGCGGATGGCGGGGGAGCTTCGCGTGAGTCTGTGTGCGGTGATGTGCGACAACCTGTGAAGGCGGACAAAGTTTGCCACATTACCTCACACGGGTAAGCAGCCTTGCTGAAGAATTGCGTGAGGCGTGAGGCGGTGATAAGTGTTTTCGTTCTCAGGATGGAAGATGGAAACGGTTGGACGGAGGAACCGGAGCAACTTGAACCTCCTTTGCCCCTCAAGTCTGATGATGAGGATGATGGAAACCAACTTTTCTTTCCGCTTGCTTGCCGCTACATGCACACAAACAGTAAGAGGAAAATAGTAGATCCAGTGTAAGTTCTTTAGTCCTAAATATATTGAATATTGAACCAAAACAAGAAGGAACAGCGCAAGTCTCGCTTATTTAGTCCTCTCTCTCACTTCACTTACTTCGCTTGTGACACTTTCAGAACGGATATGTGATCACTAACAGTGCAGCAACACATGTAGGCTACTTCGCTGACACTTTCAGAACGGGTATGTGATCACTAACAGTGCAGCAACACATGTAGGCAGACAATATAACAATACACACCCTGCGTATATTCTTTATCTTCTGCGTCGAAAGGGGAAAAATTGTAGCTTGGGTTTGGAACTGCTCATTTATTGTTTAAGTGCAATGCTGTCGTACGCTGGTAAAAGTAATGGTTCAACAATAATTGCTTATTTTAAAGAGATATCAAAAATAATAATAACAATTGCACAAAATGGTATAATATCGATAGTGTATAATCCCACAGATTTCCACCCTGGAATGTGTCAAGGCTTGAGTCGTCACCGTGCCGTTTGCTGCCAATGGCGTAGAAACCCCGAGCTGCCCTCCATAAACTGGTAAGACGACAACAACAAATTTAAATCCCAGTACGGGGGAAGTAATGAAGTACAAATATGTCGCTGGGGCATATATCTCAGTTGAAACCGTATATGTGTTTGGCTCAAACATACCTCGCATGCGTCTGCACGGACAGCAAGAAAAAGGGAACGGGTGATCGAGCAGGATCCCGGGGACTTCAGGGTCGTCCGTTACTTCAGGAGAGCAGTTGACTCTTGTCTTTTTTATCTCCCCTCACACATATCTGCACTTGTGCTCGTGTACAACGTGAGCACATTTCCGACCTTTGTCTTTTGGGGAAACTGCTTCAAGTTCTTGTGTGCGTCAGGATACGACGACAGGTGCCACCGGGCGTCTCGGTGAACGTGCCGCACTTCTCTGCGCCACCCGAGGAGCTCGTATCGAGGGTCGACGATGTGATGCCGATACCGACCGCAGCTTCCTCCGCGGCTTCCTCTCATATAGCGCGGAGACGAACAAGCCTGCCAAAAGAGTCGAGTGAGTCGTGTTTTAGTTTGGCACTCGTCATCTCTCATTGTGTCATCACGGCACAGGTTTCCCGTTCCCTCTTAATGTCTGTCTACATGTTACATTCGTTTATCTTAAACCAAGGCATTGAGTGGTACGGGAGGGGCGGGGCTAAAATAATAGTTGATATGAGTCTCCGGCGGAAAAAAAAAACATGAAAACAAAACGTAAATAAAAGAGTCACTATCAAACAGAAAAATGAGAACTGTGTAACTTTCCATCAACACACACAAAAAAAAATGAAAACATGTCATCGCAATCTATCATAGCAGAAGTAAAACAAGAGAAAGCCGAACTGTCCATCATTGCACAGGTGGTTAAAAAAAAACAGAATGTGTATTATATTATATATAAATATTATTATTTGCTATATTTAATCAGGAATTATTTTGGAGGCTATCAACACAAGATGACAAACTCACAATCAATCGAATCTGCTTGTTGGTTAGCTTTTTTTTTATTATCTATGTAATCAATGTATTTTTTGAAACGCTTGATTTTCAAGTACATATGTTTTGATGGATTTTGTGGTCAGGAAACATCTTCATCACCTACTCCTCGGACTCGTCTTGTGAGATGATCGGCCTTGTTGACTTCCTCTCCAAAAATGGCTTCCAACCTGCTGTAAAGCCAGCATTTTTTGTTTTGTTTTTTTAAACACAAATATCTTTTTTTTTCATGTCGCATTTTTTAAAATTTTACAATGGTGCCTTAATAGACGAGATCACTTGATCCTGTGATCATGCGCTTAACTCAAAACACTCATATCTCAGATTCTCAGTTAAAATAAAATATGTGTTGTTTGTTTTTAACCACGCGACGCTTCTAGAGTGAATGCTGGTCATTAGCCTGTCTATGGCGTTTTGTATTATTTCGTAGAATGAAGTTAAGCTGACTTTTAAATAACATTTGACAGCAAACTTCAACTGGAGCGGCAAAGAAACAGCTTGAGGCCTCTTTTTTGAAGGACTGTTCAAACGGCTGCTTGTTGTGAACTTAGTTGAGAGGAGTTTACTGCCGCCAAACAGCACACACATTCCAAATTTGTGCTCACAAGTCAAACCAAAAAAATAAATAAATAAAAAAAATCCCAAGGGCAGCTTGCATGTCCAAAAGCTCATACAAACGGGACGCTCGTTTCTCAAGGCACCATTGTATATTAAATAATCGTAATGCTGGAATGTTTATGGCACAGGTGGACACAGCTGACGGGCCCCTGACAAACATGGACGTCACCACCTGGGAGAACACAATCATGAAGGATGTAAGTGAACGGCACAACTTTTCTTTCTTATTCTTAGTATCTTTTAATTTATATTTGGTCATGATTTTTTTTTTTTTTTTTTTTTTTGAGGGGGGAGACATTTCTGGAATAATTTTTTCCAATTTAAAAAAATGCCTTCCATTGTTTTTTTTCAAATGTGACGACAAGCAACATTTCGCACAAATTTATATACATTTATTTTGACACAGTCATTTGATTACTTTAAATGTGCTTGAATGACATTGAGGACAACAAAAGAGAGAGCATAATAGTGGGTACCGGGCGATAAAAATGTGAAAAACAGGCATTTTTAAAGATGGGGAAAAAATACATATTTTTAAAAAGATTGAATAATCAAATATGATTGCCATCCCTGAAAGGATTCCAATAATTGTGTTTATTTTCCTGGCAGCCATCCACCCCTATCATTGTGGCTATCAGTCCACGCTACAAGGCAGACATTGAAAGCTGTGTTGTGAACACCCGCGGCGGTCTGCACACGAAATACATTTACTCCATGGTAAGGCCTGCATTGGATATAAAAAAAGTCCACACACCCCTGGTCAAATGCCGTTTTTTTTCCTGTTTTTTTTTGGGGGGGGAATTAGAATCATGTGGTTGCGCAATTCTGTGCACCTTCTTATGTCTGGGTTCAGAGTTAATCATTACCAATCAAACTCATTTAATTGAGAGTCCACTCACAACAGCTACCATTTAAGGTGCGTCAATTTTATTTTCTGATTTTTTTTTTTTTTTTTTCCTTTAAGATGCGGCATTAATTTATCCAACAGGGCAGCTTGAACTTCCGGTTCATCCCTGTGCTCTTCCTCGACGCCTCCCAGGTTATCTGTTCCTCCTCATTTTTTTTTTTTTTTTTTTTTTTTTTTTTTGCTTTGATGGCGACGTAGTTTGCTGAGCGTTTGTCCGTGCTGTGTCTCCATGCAGAAGGATGTTCCGGGATGGCTTCAGAACACGCGTGTCTACCGCTGGCCCCGGGACATGGATGACCTGTTGCTGCGACTGCTGAGAGAGGAGAGATTTGTTCCTCCTCCAGTGCCCGTGGAGCTCACCGTCTTCATCACACCTGTGGTTGCCACACCTTAAATCCAACTGTTGTATCTCTATAGATGGGTCATTACAGAATCGGAGGACAGTTCAGGTACCGATAATTTTGAAAAAAATGATTTCTTTTATTATTTTCTTATCCCTTCAAGAAAAAAAACAACAATGATTATTATTATCTAGTATGATTTGATTTTATTTGTCTTTGAATATTTTGCTGTTTGGCGAAACATTGTTCCAGATACTTAGGCCACTGAAAAAAAAAACTTGTAAATTGTTGCTGAATAGATCATTTACAAATGTACTTTTTTTACAGCACAGTTCGGTTGTATTTAACTTGAGTACACTAAATATGCTTTTTAGCCGTAAAACCTCTGCCTCTGTATTTTTTCTGACTGTGTTGTTGACTAGTTGTTTGGCACACGCAGATTCAACCTATTCGCGGAATTTTTTTTATTTTTTTGCTTTGTTCAATATTTCTTTTAATATGTTTTGTAATTAAAATATATATTTTTAGGAGGATTCTGGTGGGGATTTCTGTGTATAATTGACACCACTTATAAATGCACTGAATAAAAAAAACAAGTGTAAAAATATAGATCGATAGAAAGATAGATTTCATATTTTTTTCCTTCTAAGCCGAATCAGTCAAAAAAATGTTTTTTTTTTTTTATGATTTGAAACAGGTGTTTTGAGTTAAAACTCACTATTCTTTAAATGAATACAATCTCTGTGATCTATAGTTTTTTCCTCACTAGGGGGCGCCCTTTTTCCTGAGAGGTCATTTAGTACACCCCCCGCCCCCGCCCACTTTTGACCTCCAAAAAAGGTGTGTGAGAGCAGCTGTGCTAAGAATAACTTCGTGGGGGTAAAGTTACCTCGTCGTGTTATGTTCCGTGTATTACCCTGTCCAAAAATCACGCGCCCCCACCCGCATCCCGCTCCCCTCGGTCACTGCCTCTGCACTGGCAGCTCCACATGCACCCGTAAACCGCACTTGTTTATGTTTTTATTCATCTTTTTTTAAAGAAGTGATCAACTATGGAATAACTGACTTAACCTGACTTGATTTGTGCCAAAATCAAAAGGATTTGAACCGAAGGAATTGATCAATATGGCTGACGGTAAGTTTGATTGACATGAATTATATGTGAGTCTTCTGAGCCCTTAGCAAACGGTTACATTATTTAAAATGCACAAAATGACTTCATGAATCATACTTATCCACGTATGGCGACAAGACTAGTTCGAGTCACTTTTTATTTAATAGGAAATCGCCCAAATAACAACAACTGAATGTATTTCGGTCATGTATGTTCGTGAAATAAGGTGGTAAAAGTCCATGAAAATGAGCAGAATGTGTTTTTGTACACAGCTAAATGACATTGAAGTTCTGGGCTCTCCGCAGGCTATTTCTGCCCATCTCCCAACTGTCTCATTTTCTAATTTCCAAATCCAGCTCTTTAAATAGATTAGTAACGCACTGTTTACGTCAAAAGTTGCACTTTTTTGGCTCGACCGTGGCTACTTTTGGCTAATGGAAACCAATGGAAAATACATTTCGTTAGCTTTACAGCATAATCGCCTTTAATGTTTTGAACCTACTGTTAACAAGTCAGTAAAAAAAAAAAAAATACCAATGCACTTAAGAAAGTTGGGTTTTTTTCTTCTTTTTTCCCCAAAACATATGAATATGATTTGGGCAAAAGTGTTACAATAGGCGAGTCGTTTGCCCGATTGCTTAACTTCCCAGCTCGTTTTTTTTCAGACTGGTACCAAACTAAAGAAATAAACAAATAAAAATACCAGTTCACCTGTTAAAAATATATATACTGTATATATATTTTCTTGTTTTTCAAAAACGTTCCAGTTGCTTTACGCTTTTAGGCTAATCGTTAGTGTATTTACAGTAATTACTGAAGTAGTTTTTAACTTAACTGTTTCCAAATCAATATAAAATACCAGTGCATTTGCTAAAAATTGAGGTGTTTGAAAATCAATCACGCAATCTTGATTTTGTAAAAAGAGAACGCTCCCTCTGCTGGCTGTAGAAAGACTACTATTAAAAATATAAAGACAAATGATATTATCGATATATTTTTTTGTTTTTGAGGTTGTCTTCCAAACTGCGTATTGGGCAAACCAACTAGAGGGATTATTGATAATAATGTTGAATGGATGTTTTATACTAATGTCAAGAACTTGTGTTAGTTGAAAACTCTTAGGCAGTAAAATTAAAAACTGAAAAGGATACTAACATCGAGCAAGAGTTATTATTCTTATCATTATTCCATCCATCCATTATCCGAACGTCTTATATTATCATTAAATGGGATTGAAAAGTGGATTTTATAAATGTTTCACAGATATTCATGAACGCAACCGTGACAGTAGAGCATCATCCCTTCGGAGCAAGTGTGTTGAAAGCACTGTTGCTATAAATACAAGCTATCGTATATCGTGAACATTCGCAAAAGGCTAAGTAGCTGCACGACTCTGTCAACTCTGTATTATTTATAACTCTTAAATCATTTTTAGTATCGGGACGAAAGTGATGACTAAATCAATGGATCATCAAGTTCCAAGCCTCAGGGAACTGAGCAAGTTGAAACAAAATAGACCCCTTCATCTTCCGCTATACCCCCCGCCCCCCCCCAAAAAAAAATGGAAGAAAGAAAGAAAAATTGTCCTGATGGATGTTTGTTTAAATGTAGCGTTTACAGAAACGATTGCAGTTTTTTATTTTCTCTACATCAAGGGGCCAAAACTGCCACTGGGTCCCCAGCAGCAGCAACCGCAGCAGCATGTGGCTCAGTTAAGTCCAAAGCAGTGATGGTGCTGAACAAACTACGAGTGTCTGTGGAGCTGCTCATTGCTCTGGCTGCTCTCTTGTGCTGGCTGACGGTGGGCGTGGTCATGTTTGACTTTGTGGAGTACAAGGCAGTACCAGGTGGGTTCTCAATAATAATTCATAACTAGAGCTGCGAGTAAAATTGGACATCCCCCACCCCCAGACATGTTTATAATATCGAAACTGGCTCGATTAGTGTGCAAAAGTTTGGTGATTTTTTTTATAGATATACTGTGTATATATATCCTATATGTCTTGAATGAACTGAAAATTCACACGGAATGATCTGAATCGAGAAACGGTGGAAGTTGTAGTAGAAAACCAAGCCAAAGATAAAACAAGATATTTTGAGCATGCTTTTTTAAACTTGGTTCGCTTGTGACGTCCAGACATCCAGCACATCATGTCCGACCCGCTCCAAGCTGCGTATGACGCTGCGGATGAAGTGTCCAATCTCGTCAGCAAGTTCCAAGGTGACCTAATAGCTTAGCATTGGCATTAACAGCGTGACCTGCCAGACTTGTGACTTTTCTGTTCCTTCCTAGAATGTGCGCCCGACTTAAGCGACCCCATGTCTGCAGCCACCTACGCGCTGGATGAAATAGCCCAAGCCAAAGACAAATTTGTGCAACATTTCTCAGACGAGAATGGTACAGAACCACAGACGTTAATCCTGAATTCAAGTTTGAAAATCTCTCTTCTCTCTCTTCTCGGATGCAGATGTCTTCTACCTGAGCTACGTGGATCCGGTGGTGATAGGCAGAGGACTTTTCCATTCCACCAATGACTTTGTGTGCGGGATGGCGGCGTCCCTCAGGGACACGTTTTGTGCCGCTCTGGACGCCGTGTTATATTCTGCAGCACATTTAAGTCAAGGTTGGTCAACTACTCTTAACAAATGCAGATAGTGTATTGGCGCCGTGTCTCGGGATTGTTCTGACGTGCTGTGATGTATTCCCCTTTATAGGTCAAATCAAACTTGTACACCCCCCCCTCCCCCCCTCATAAAATGATTGTTGCACAAGACAACACTTCAAGGTCATTTTATGTTGATTTGCAAGTCTACTTTAACTCTTTCACTCGTTTATTTTTGACGATGCCTGCTGAGCCTTCCTGATGCAGTATGTCAGAGGATCTCGGGTTATGTAGAGACGATTCGGAGACGTTCCAATCAACTCTGACATTTGGTGGCTGGCTCCACAGTGTTGCGTCCGGGAGCAATCGACCTGAGCTTCATGGATCCGCTTCCGTGGTGTCGAGGACTGTTTTCCTGCACCAGAGACTTTGTTTGCGGCCTGCTGGGCTCCATTCAGCAGTACTGCTGTGGCATCTTGGACTCTGCTCTGGATCTCGTTGAAGGTATTTTTGTATTTCTTGCCAGACTGTAAATGCCTGCTTGAGATAAACACCTTAATGTTTTCCCCCGGAAAAACAAACACCTTCCTCAAGTAAACGTCACAATTTGGACCCCAGACAAATGAACGCCTCGCGTTCTCCTAGGCCAGCAAATGCCTCGGTTTTATGCATTAGGCCTTATTTTCATCGTGGCGAAATAAACACCTCTCTCAAATAAATCCGTCACTTTTCTCCAGACAAATAAACAGCTCCATTAAATCAACACCTCCACTTTTCCCGAGACAATCTTGCTGCTGAAGGCTGTAAATTTCCCCAGTGTGGGACAAATAAAGGATATCTTATCTTATCTTACCTTATCTTAAATCAATGTCTCCCTCCAATAAATGCCTCTCTTTTGCCCCTGACAAATCAAATGCAGACCTGAAATCAAAGTTTTGCGATCATCCTTACCACCTATCAAAACAACACCTCTTGAGCCTTCCTGATGCAGAATGAGAGATGATCTCAGGTTATGTAGAGACAATTCGGGGATGTCCCTGTCAACTCTGACGTTTGGTGGGTTGGCTCCGCAGTGTTGCGTCCAGGAGCAATCGACCTGAGCTTCATGGATCCGCTTCCGTGGTGTCGAGGACTGGTTTCCTGCACCAACGATTTTGTTTGCGGCTTGCTGGGCTCCATTCAACAGTTCTGCTGTGGCATCATGGATTCTGCTCTGGATCTCGTTGAAGGTATTGTTGTATTTCTTGCCAAACTGTAAATGCCTCCCACCTCATGTTTTCTCCCCCGAAATACAAACACCTTCCTCAAGGTAAACCTCTCATTTTGGTCCCCAGACAAATGAACGCCTCGCTTTCCCCTAGACCAGTAAATGCCTCGGTTATATAAATGACACCTAATTTTCATTTCAGCCAAACCTCTATCAAATAAATGCGTCACTTTCCCCTGGAGAAATAAACACCTCACTTTTACCGAGACCAATAAATGTCTCCCTCAAATAAATGCCTCTCTTTTGCCCCTGACAAATCAAATGCAGACCTGAAAGAAAAGTTTTGCTATGATCCATACAAGCCATCAAATCAATACCAGCTGAGCCTATTTGAAACCTGTTGCTAACCAAAACAGCAGAACGTACAGCAGCACATTTCTGGATTTCTGAAAACCTCCTGGTGCTTTATGGGAGATGATCTCGGGTTATGTAGAGACGATTCGGAGACGTTCCCGTCAACTCTGACATTTGGTGGCCCTCTCCACAGTGTTGCGTCCTGGAGCAATCGACCTGAGCTTCATGGATCCGCTTCCGTGGTGTCGAGGACTGTTTTCCTGCACCAGAGACTTTGTTTGCGGCCTGCTGGGCTCCATTCAGCAGTTCTGCTGTGGCATCTTGGACTCCGCGCTGGATCTCATTCAAGGTATTTTTGTAATTCTTAAATTCAAGGTTAGCTGCACCTTAAAAATGTGTCTTGAAATTTGTCAGGATTAATCTGACTCTAGTATATTATTTAGCAGTGAAATGATCTGTGGAAAAGAAAAAAAACAATCTGTAAATTGAAGCTTCATTCAAATCTTGCTTTTTTTTTCCCCTCCTTTCAGACAGCGTCGACCTCAGCTTTTTGGACCCTGCGGCGTTTGGCAGGAATGTCATCAGTGTCACAAACGACACCGTCAATAAAATAACGGTCGGCCTGCAGGAAGCGAAGGCCGTCACCACAGACGTCGTGCTTGATATAGTCAACGGTACGTGCTTCTAGTCCTCAACACGAATAAACTGCGCGTCTGTGATTCGGGAAAGCGCACAGTGAAAGAAAACATTTCCCTGCTATACCTTGAAAAACATCGAGCGCGTCAAAAAAATATTCACAAACATTCATTGTAGCTGTCGGATCGTCAATTTGACATTCTGACAGTGGACAGAAGAAAACAAAAATAAACCCAAGATACTTCCTAGCATGCCTGTAAGAGTTTCTAAAATAGCGTACGGCGATGTAACGAAGGTTACTTGTCTTCTGATTCGCGACTGACTTGTTTGTTTAAACTGCAGTGTAGGTTAGGGGATAGAAATTACACGATTTGAGATTGTGTCGCGTTATCAGGTTTAGTATAGGATCATAATCCCCACATAAAATGTATTCATCCACGTTCTCCCTGAACATTTGCACCTCCACAAGGGGGCGCAAGAAAACCAGTTCAGGCAGCAAATGTATTTCCCCAGTTACTGATCACTTCTGAGTTCTGACTTGCTCTTACTCAGACATCCAGGAAATGGTCTACTTCAGCCCCTCCGCTGCCCTGAACAGGACCGTCGAAATCGTCGCGGAGCAGTACCAAATGCTCGCGGGCGCCATCTACGGGGTCCTGCCCGACGTTGCCTTTGACCCCGTGAAAGTGGTGGAAGACGCCATGCTCCAGCTGACCGACAAGAAGGATCTGTTTGTGGCCTACGTGAGCACCATGATTGTGGGCGAGCAAGGTACAAGTTTTAACTCTTGCGTACTCACCGATATCCAAGTACTTATACCACTCGTACTTTTGAAACACCAAATTTCATTTAATACGATCATTGTGACCAAAGACGATGATTGTTCTTTTTTTTGTTTGTTTGTTTGTTTGTTTGTTTTTTACGCATATATTGCGTCTTGGATGTGTTAAATCGCTGCAGTATAGCGCCATCTACTTGCAAGGAGGACTGACGCAATGTCAGATTTTTATTGATTTAAATATCCATGGCCGGTATCGGCACCCTCTCTGACTACCCGATACCAAAGAAGCAGTTCTAAATATGTAAATGTTTTTTTCTCTTCATAATTAAATATAACTGAACTGAACTTCACAAATGTACTAAAATAAATGAAAAAATTGTAATACGCACTTTTGAGTTGAATACCGTAATTTTCTGACATGCCACTAGAGGGAGTCCATGCACCACCGATGGTACTCAGCCCATTTTGAGAAGCACCGCATTAGATTGTACAGGTGTACCTAATATTGTGGCCGGTACCTGTTCACTGATTGACATTTGTCTTGTTTTCAGCTGAACCAGTTGCTACACCGCCTAAGGATATAATCCATGAAAAAGGTTTTTTTGCTTTGTTTTGGGTTTTTTTTAATACTTGTTATCCAACTGAATCTAAATTGTGAAATTGTATCCCCTGAAACAAATCTGTTGTTGTTTCGCTTGATTTAGATGAAAGTGCAGCACCTCGCTCAGACATACCGATGGTGAGACGCAAAGGTGAGACTCTTATTTTGCTTGTGCATACGCGCCTTATTCAATGATGGCTTACTAAGCTCTCTTTAAAATGCAGGTGAATTTCTACCACCGTATGTAAGAGGTAAGACCATGTTTTTTTGTATTTCTGTTTTTTTTTTTTTTTAATGTCAATACAAAGCGCCTTGGTTTTTTTTTTTTTTGGGGAGTAGGGTTTTGTTTTGTTTTTTTTGTTTTTGTTTTTTTTTATACAGTGAACCCACCTAACTAGAATGCACACAAACATTTCCCCCAATAGGAAATAATGAAAAAAAAAGCCGATGACTTTTGTGGGTGGTGGGAAAGGCATGTGCATAGATAAAGTGGTGGTCAGGCGCCAACCCGTTTGCTCTGGATCAGAAAAAGGCCCTTTGCCTTGTGCCCATTTTGCTTCTTGATTCTTCAGTATCCAAGCACGACGCGGGAGATGCATGTGCAAGCATGTGCCTGCGTAGCGTTTTCTCACACGCATTCCCCTTTCCTCCCACGTTTTAAAAAAAAAAAAAAAAACCAAACAAAACAAAATCCACATTTGTTTGAAGTCCCTGAAATCGAATGAGGATAAGCACTGTGCCAAATGCATGCATGGACTTTGGAGGTTTCGCTGCATTGTATGCATGCAAAGAATATTTGTATCGATTGATTACCTTTGAACAATGGTTCAAATAAAGTGTCTCGTTTTTATGCGTGTGTTTGTTTTGTGTGTACACCAAACTTAACAGTTAAAAAAGGTACTGGGGGGCAGGGGGGGTCCTCAGGTTGACAATGTTCGATTCATGGGTGTCGACTACACTGCACTTGGGTTTACATCGCTGCCATCGGAACGGAACCGAGGACCCCTTGTAATTGGTGCCCAAAAAAATGCACGTTGCCCTTTGATCGTCACAACAAAACAACATGAACATGGAACCAAATACGCACCAGAACTGTATACTGTACATATTCGGTGTCGCATCTCACAAAAGCGAGTACACGGTTGACATTTTTGTCAATATTTTCTTACATCCCTTCAAGGGACGACACTGAGGAAATGACACTTTGCGACAATGTAAACTAGTCGGCGTACAGCTTGTATTGTCGTGTCAATTTGCTGTCCTCTCAAAATAACTCAATAATAATTTTTGATTTCTTCAAAAAAAAAGTGATTCTACATCTCTTTGTGAAAATGCCCCAATTGGGATCGATTTTCCCATTTTGCCATTTTCCCTCCTCGGCGCCATATGCATCGTTGGTGTTCCAAAGTTGAATGGGGAGCCGGTGTGTTAAATTTGGTTCATGTTCCTCATCATGTCAAACTTGTTTTTCGTAAACTTTGGAAGCGCTGCACTCCGCTTGTCCGAGCATCTGATGTACGACAGACAGCTTGCCTCTGCCGCGCTGTGTTTGTACGCAATTCTCGCAACCTTATTCCCACGTGACACTAATTGTAAGCACGTTGATGTGTGGAATAAACAACGCGAGTGTGTGTCTCATTCCACCTCATCCCACCCGGAAACGTAAATGTGGATTGTGTCTGATAAATGGCGACGTTACGAGCTGATGGCGCGGTTGCAGAGGACATGGTGATGATGCGCGCGGCTCAAGACCACCAAGAAGGCAAAAAAGCAACCGAGCAGGACAAGGGTATTCATGCTTTCAACACTTTTACGGTGCAGCCAGAAAGTATTTACGGCGCTTCACTGTTTACACACACACACAAAGGCGCGCTAATGCTGCAAAATGTGTGTGTGTGTGGGGGGGATGAACCACTGGTGAATACTTTCTGGATGCACTGGAGAACATAATGATGACGAAGAGAGATTTAAATGTGTCGCTATCGCATCACTAGTGGAACACGTCCGCCCAGGAGCGCCACTGGACACCCAGGAAGAGGAGGAAGAGGAGGAGGATGAAGATGAAGAGGAATGGCAGCTTCAAGTAAATGGAGAGGAAGAACCAAGAGAGGCCACAGAGGAGAAGATAGAAAGCAGTGATGATGTGGTGAACGAAGAGGAAGGTGTGTCGAAAGTGGAGGAGGAACAGGACGAGAGCGCAGGTGCAGGAGTCCCGTTCATTGGGGAGGAAGAAGAGGAGATCCCTTTTGATGAGAGGGAGGAAGAAAATGAGGAGACGACAACCTCGGATGCTCAGGCTCAGGCGGCAACGGAAGATGAGGAGACTCAAACTGGGGGCGAGGGGGAGGAGCGGGATGAAGAAGATGAGGAGCTGACCGCTGTAGTTAAAGAGGAAGAGGAGGACGGGGGGGAAGAAACAAAAACTGTCGATGAAGAAGAGTTGAAAGATGATGATCAGGAGCAAGAAGTGGAGGCAATAACTAAAAATGAGGAGGTGGAAGAGACACCGACCGTAGATGATGAGGCAATTACAACTTTAGCTGATGATGAGGATGAAGATGAGGAGATGGCAACCGTCGATCACCACGAGGAGGAAGAGGAGGAGACGACAACGGATAAGGAAGAGATCACAGTTGACAATGCGGATGAAGACGAGGGAGCAACCGAAGATGATGAGGAGGAGGGCGAAGAAGGTGAGAAAACAACATGGTCCGGTGAAGAGGAGGAGACCCTTCCCATAGATGATCCCGACGAAGAAGAGGACTCCTTCTTCCTCTTAGAGGAGGAGGCCCAAGAGCAAATTCCAACACTGGAGGAGGAGGAGGAGGAGATAACAACAATGGATGAGGTTGATGAAGATGAGAAAACATTCGCTGATGAGGAGGAAGCGACGCTCACCATAGATGACGAGGACGAGAAGACTTCAAGAGTAGACGAGGAGGAAGACGAGCCGTCAACCGTCGATGACGATGATGATGATGATGATGAAGAGGCAAAAACAACCAAAGATGACGAGTTGGAGGACGCCGCAACGGTAGATGATCAGGACGAGGAAGAGGAGAGAACCACAACATTCAATGAGGAGGAGCAAGAGGAGACAACAACTCGAGAGGAGGAAGAGGAGGAAAACGCTGCCGCTGAGGAAGATGACGAAAGACCATTCGATGACAACGAGGAGACAAAAGAGAAGGCGGCACGAGATGAAGATGAGGAGGATGATGAGGAGGAGGGAGCGACATTAGAGGATGAGGATGGGGATGGTGAGGATGAAGACGAGGAGGGGATAACACCAGTTGAGGATGATGATGATGATGATGATGATGATGAGGAGACGGCAACTTGGCAGCCTTTTGTCACGGTTGACGACAACGACGAGGCGGTCGAGGGCAAACCTTTCGAGCGTCGGGATGCCGACCGACGTGACCTTCATCGTGGCAAGAGAGCTGATTTGGATGAAGACAAAGCGCCTGTTCCTCAACGCACGACTGTTCAGAAACATCCCATCAAACGCCACGCAGGTAAAAAAAAAAAAAAGTCATTTCTCATTCCATCTTTGCACATTTTTTTTTTCCTGACTAATCATGAAAACGTTTCCGTGTGGTCAAAGTGATGCTTGCCAATCAATTTGATGACTGTCAATCATAGTCACGATTGTGTTGTTATTGTGCCTTTTGCGTCGCCCCGTCAGCGTTCACCACAGCGAGCCACTTGCATGGTTTGTTGGGGTGTAGTTTTTCACCGGATGCCCTGACTTGATGAAAGCAACCTTTTTTTTTTTTTTTTTTAATGCAGGTTTGGCGCTGGCAGCAACTGCTTATCTGAATTGATCTAATGTTTATTTATGCTGTCCCATATATATTTTTAGATATATTTGTTTTCAGTAAAGGCATTTACACCTGGGACTGACTTGGCTTCTGCTGGTAGTGCCCCCCCGCACCCTCCCCCCCTTCATTTTTGTGCAGCATCACAGCTAAATGCTGCTTCACCATGTTAGGTTTGAACTCTGGGCTCCATTTGTGAGGATAACTCAGAGCCCTACCAGGTTTATATGCCATATATATTAGCATTTCTTTAACGTATTCAGGACCTAAACCATTCAGTGATTTATCGACCAGTAGCAGAACTTCAAAGTCTATTCTATAGCAGACTGAGAGCCAGTGTAAGGTTTTTTTTTTTTGTCATTTTTTTTTTTTCACTATTAGACTTGTAACGAAAAAGAAAGCATGATATTTTGCTTTTGGTGATTAAATTCTCTGTGTTCATTTTATCCGTGCGTGTCTACGTGTGTGTCCGTGCGTGCCTTTGTGTTGATTATTTCAGCTGTCAAACATGCAGCCAAAAAACAGCCGGCACCCGGAAAAGTTCCCATTGTAATTAAAGGTAAAATTGCGATCCCCTTTTTTGATGTATGAATAACAACATATCATAATAACCCAATATAAATTTTTTTTGCATTATTTATACTGAAATATTTATTGTCTTTTGCAGACCTTTTAAAAGAAACAAAAAAAGAAACGAAAACAGATGCCACACACCAAGAATTGCTTACGAACAAAACCAAGGATGAAAAAGTAACAGAGAAGCTCAAAGCCATCATGAAACTCCTTAAGAAAAAGCCAAAAAAAGCCAAAGGTACTGACATTGACCCTCTAAAAGGTCAACTTTATTCATCCAACTGAAAATAAATAATAATGATGTTAATTTTAACGTATCCCTTATTTCAGTTGTTAATCTTCTCTTCCTTTATACTTACATATAGACAATTCAATCTCGCATACCTAATCACTGTGTGTCCCTTTTAAAAGAACCCGTGAGAAAGAAGCCACCGAAGGAGCTGTTGCAAGTTGGAGTAAAGGCCACCGAAAACATAACGATTGCAAAGAAGCCCTTGATGGTGAAGCTTTCCAAAGTTAAAATGGCAAAGATGGCTGAGGAATCAAAGAAAGATGCCGGGAAACTTGCCAAAGAGGAGAAAAAAGAGAAGGGACCTCGAACTGAAAAGCTCACAAAGCATTTTCCAAAACAAGAAATAAAAGATGAGATATTACACAAGAGGGCAATCCCCAAAGCTCTCAAAGTAGTCACGGGTTTGTCTGGAAAAGAAGAGAAAGAGGTCAAAGAACCTACAAAAGCAAAGAAACCTCCAAAAGAAGTTAAAGAACCTTTTACAAAAGAATTAGAATCCAAGAAACCTCATAAAGAAGTCAAGGAACCTTCTCAAGAGGCCAAGAAACCTCATAAAGAAGTCAAAGAACCTTTCAGGATTAAGAAGGAAATGAAGAAACCTCACAAAGCCGAGAAGGAGGTCAACGCAACTTGTACAGAAGACAAAAAACCTCAGAAAGAACGGGAAACTTGCCAAAGAGGAGAAAAAAGAGAAGGGACCTCGAACTGAAAAGCTCACAAAGCATTTTCCAAAACAAGAAATAAAAGATGAGATATTACACAAGAGGGCAATCCCCAAAGCTCTCAAAGTAGTCACGGGTTTGTCTGGAAAAGAAGAGAAAGAGGTCAAAGAACCTACAAAAGCAAAGAAACCTCCAAAAGAAGTTAAAGAACCTTTTACAAAAGAATTAGAAGCCAAGAAACCTCATAAAGAAGTCAAAGAACCTTTCAGGATTAAGAAGGAAATGAAGAAACCTCACAAAGCCGAGAAGGAGGTCAACGCAACTTGTACAGAAGACAAAAAACCTCAGAAAGAAGTGAAGGAGGTCAAAGAAACTCTGGAGGTAGTCAAGAAACCGTATAAACAAAAGAAAGAAGTCAAAGAACCCATGGAGGTAGTCAGGAAACCACAGAGAGAAGAGAAAGAAGTCAAAGAACCATCAAAGGAAGCCAAGAAACCTCCAAAGGAGGAGGTGGGGGTCAAAATACTTTCTGGAGAAGAGAAGGAAGTCAAAAGATCTCAAAAAGAAGAGAAACGTGTCAAAGAAACTTTAAGGGATACAGAGAAACTGCCAAAAGAAATTGACGAACCTTCAAAAGAACTCAAGAGATCTCCAAAAGAAGTCAAAGAGCCACCTAGAAAATAGAAGGCGTTCAAGAAAGAATAGAAAGAACATTCTTAAGAAGCCAAGAAAGTTCTTAAAGAAGAGGAAGCTGTCAAAGAAACTTCTAGAGAAGAGAAGGAAGTTGGAAAACATCAGAAAGATGATACAGAGGTCAAAGTCACTTCAAAGCAAGTCAGGAAGGCGCAGAAGCAAGACAAGGAGGTCAAAGATCCTTCTAAGGAAGTCAAGAAACCTTCTACAGAAGTCAAAGTACCTTCAGGAAAAGAGAAGGAGACGGCGCAGAAGCAAGACAAGGAGGTCAAAGAACCTTCTAAGAAAGCTAAGAAACCTTTGAAAGAAGAGAGAGAAGTCAAAGATCCTTCTAAGGAAGTCAAGAAACCTACAGAAGTCAAAGTACCTTCAGGAAAAGAGAAGGAACCTGTAAAACCTCCGAAAAAAGTCAAAGAACCTTACGAGGAAGCCAAGAAACCTCGGACAGAAGACAAAGACATCAAAGTACCTTCCAAGGAAATCAAGAAACCTCCAAAAGAACTCAAAGAACTTTCTAGCAAAGAGAAGGAAGTTAGGAAACCGAAGAAAGAAGAGAAGATGGTCCAAGAATCGGCAAAGGAAGAGATGGAAGAAAAAGTAAAGGAGGACAATGTTGAGCTGAGCAAACCTTCCAAAGAACAAAAGTCTGTGGAACCACTCAACGAAGACGTTGAAAATCTACCCAGAGAGAAACTTCACAGAAAATTGAGAACTGTCAATGCGTTACTCAAAGAAGTACAAGAGAAACCACTGAGAGAAGGCAAAGAAGACAAGAGGCGTCCTCAAGAAGAAGGTGACAAAGCTCTCAAAATGGTGAGTGCAGTCAAGGAACATCCCAAGGAAGTTCAGAAACCGGCTTTGGAGGAGCAAGAAACCAAGAGACCCATCAAAAAAGTTACGAAACCACTCGTGGAGAAGAAAGAAATCAAGAAATCCATCAAAGTAGACAGCGGAGCAAATGTGTCTTCTGAGAAACCACATGAAGATGGGTCCAAAATCCAAGTCAGGAGGGAGCCTGCTGAAAGACTTTTCAAAGTCCAGAAACAAGTTTCAGAAGGAAAACAAGCTACCACAGATGAGTTGAAAGAAAAAAGACCTCGTGAAAAAGTGTTGGTCTTCAGGAGAACTTCCAAAGACTGCGTGGAAGCTCTCAAAGAAACACACAAGGAGCTTAGCAATCAAACAGAAGAACTCAAGAAGTCTCCAAAAGAGGAAAAGGAACCCAAGAAACGTCTCACAGAAGAGCTCCAGAAACAAAAGGTACAAGAGTCCACGGCCACCACGCCGCAGAAAGAGGAGCGAAAGAGACCACGTGCAGAACAGGAAGTCATAAAAGAGGAGAAGGACATCATGGGATCTCTCAGGAAACAGGCAACCGGAATGCAGAAAGACCTCGTGAAAACATCTCCAGAGGAAAAACCCTCTGAGAAAAAAGAAAAGCAAAAGGGGAAGATTCCACTTCAAGAAGAATTCGATGAATCTCTGAGAGAAGAGAAATCCGTCACCGTGTCCCTCAAAAAAGAGAGAAAGCTCCTCAAACTGAGTGAAGAAGAAAAAGACATACAGAAACTTTCACAAGAAGTCCCAGATGAAAGTCAAGTCCCTGAGGAGGACGAGGGAAAGAAACCTCCCAAAGTAGAGCACAAGATATCGCCTAAAGTCGACACCAGGAGATCTTTAAGCGAGGAGATGGAAGTCAAAAGATCGATCCGAAGACAGACTCAGCTCCAGAAACCAACCAGAATGGAGAAGGAACCCAAGAAAACACCCCAACAAGTCCCTGAAGAGAGTAAACCCCTTGAAGTGAAAGAGGAGGAGATTCCGCCCAAAGAACCACTTGAAGAAACAAAGACACATGCCAAAGTAGAGCTTGAAGAGAAGAAACTTCCCAAGAAAGAGAAACAAACCCAAGTGGCAGATAAAACAGAAATTAGGAAATCATCAAAGGATCTTCAGCTCTCCGTGAAGGACAAGGAGCTGACAAAATCTCCCAAGAAGGCAAAACCTGAAGACATCATTTACAGTGAACTCACGAAGGCCTCCAAGCAAAAACTGAAGGAACCCTCGAAAGAACTTTCGAAACGCTTCAAGAAGGAACCACAAAAGTCGTCCGGGGTGCTCTCGAAAGCCACCACTGAAGACGCTTCGAAAGTGGACAAAAAAGTCAAGAAGACTTTGAAAGAAGGACCCGCGCTGACAGGTACATCCTGGTTAGGAAACATCTGGACAATGGGAAAATTAAACTACCGTATTTTCCGCACTATAAGGCACACTTAGAAGCATTACATTTTATCAAAAACCGAAAGTGCGCCTTCTTTATGGATCAATATTCTGATTTCTTGGACGTAGTATTTTATTCTATGTATTTATTATGTAAAGCGCTTTATTACAGCCACAGCGGTTGTGAAAGGCCTTTATCAGTAAAGCTGTATTGTATTGCATTGTATTGTATTGTATTCCGTTTAGCGTAACTCCATCTAGTGGATGCACAACTTAACCGCAGCCAATATTGTAGCTTCCATTCTATGCGCCATATAATGCGGTGCGCCTTATATATGAAAACAGTTTTAAAATAGGCCACTTATTGAAGGTGCGCCTTATACTCCGAAGCGCCATACAGTGCAGAAAATACGGTATGTTAAAAGAAAAGATACAGGGTTGGATTCTGTTCTCCCCATGCCTGCGTGGGTTTTCTCTGGGTACTCCGGTTTTATCCCACATTCCTAAAACATGCATGGTGGGTTGATTGGGTACTCCAAATTGTCCCTAAGTATGATTGTGAGCGCGAATGGTTGTTTGTCAATGTATGCCCTGCGATTGGTTGGCAACCGGTTCAGGGTGTCCCCAGCCTCCTGCCAGAAGACAGCTGGGATAGGCTACAGCACACCCGCGACCCTCGTAGGGATAAAGAGGATCAGAAAATGGATGGATAAGCGAAAAGACAAATACAACGGTGCCGCGAAATACTATTCTCCCAACTTGTAGTTTTTTTTGTTTTTTATTTTTTTAGATATGAGCCTGAACGTTTGCTTTTCCTTTTCAGCCGATGTCTCCCAGAGACCTCCCAGGTTGCTGAGAGTCACCAAAAAGCAAATAGCCCCAGTCCTTAAAAAAGAACACGCGAATGTGACAAAAGAAGGTAAGTCTAAACTATCTTTTTCCGACCATGTGCAGTAGTTTTTTTTTTTGTGTATTAATGTTTTGCGATTTTAGATGCCCCGAATGCTCACGAGGCCAAACCAGAAGCTACCAAAAAAGGTATTTGCATGTCATCGTCGTGCGTGCCAGCCATCCACACCTACATCTGCCCTGATGCCCATCCCGGAACGCACTCAAAGCCTTTATCTAACTGAGCAAATTTTACGTCTTATCTGTTGTGCTTTTTGACAGCTACTCCAAAGGAAAAAGCTAAAGCAGTCAAGAAAATAGGTGAGGCTTCCCTTAATCCTTAAATAAATTAAACTGTTAAGCCATTTTGTCTTCTTTAAAAAAAAAAAAAAAAATTGTTTCATGTGTTGCCAGAACAAAAAGATCCTGCAAAAAACACTTCTCTGCTGAAGGAGAGAGTTAAAATAGTGCCAATGAAGAAAGGTCATTTCTTTTTTATTTTCTTTTAAATTCATGTGACCGATTTCCTTCATTTGTTCACTAATACGAATGTTTCTTTCAGTTATCACGAGGCCAGTAAAGAAAGTCCAGGAGACCCCTGCAAAGACACGTATGCCATTTTTATTATTATGGTCTACCTTAATATTAATAATAACATGATTTTTTTTTTTTTTTTTTTTTTTAAGATGCTGGACTTCATACAAAACCGAGTGCGGCTCTCAAAGGTAATATTCTTTTTAATGCAGTCGTTCATGGTAATAAAATATGAATTTTTTTTTGTTTGTTTGTTTTTGCTGTTTGCAGAAGCAGGCCTTGCTCCTAAAAATATGTCTGTTGCTGGAGAGAAAGTGAAAGTGGTTCCACTCAAGAAAGGTGCACTTTGGATTGTTTGAACAGGATGGTGTCATTTTAACAGAATAATCTGATTACTATTATTGTTATTATTATTATTATTATTATTATTTATGTTCATAGAAGCTGTTGTCAGGGAGAGGAGGATTGTGAAAGCTAAAGGTTGGTTTCTTCCAGTTTGAACGTTTTTACTTTAATTCATGACAGAGGCTAACTCGTGCATAAGCATTCAACGCTTGTCTCTTTTATTAATAATATACATAGATTTTTTTTTTTAAATGTCTGTCCCAGGCGACAAGACTGAAACAAAGAAAAAAGTCACATCGCTCCTCAAGACGAAAGGTAGATTTAATTTTGCATCCGAACGTTATCGTTCATACTTCCCGGTGACAAAAAAAAAACAAAAATGTCGTTGGGATTTTATTTTTATTTTTTATGATTTATTTATTTATTTTTACCAGCAGAGCAGGAGACCTCCAAAGAAAACCAAAAGCCCTCAGCAGAGACAAAAGGTAAGGTGCTGCATTCGAGGCCATATGTCATTTTCATCACCGAGATTGTTCCTTTTTTTTTTTTTTTAAATTACATTTCATTGTATTTTATTTTTTTGTCATGTCATTATTATAATAATTATAATAATGATAATAATTATTATTATTATACATTTTATTGTATCTAAATTGTAAAGTCATTATTTCTTTTTTGTTTTAATAACTTTCAGAAATTTCTATGACATTATAATAAATGACAAAATCCTAATTGCATTTTATTTAGCTTTTTTGGTCACTTGATTTCACACACATGATTTCACATGATTTTTTTTTATTTTTTAATTTGCCTTTTAGCGACCCTTTTTTTGCGTAATAAGTAAATAAGTACAAGTTGCTATTAATTAATCGTATATTTCAATAGATGAGTGCGCACGCATAATGTCTCTCTTTTGTGCTTAGAAAAAGCCGCGGAGAAGAAGGCGGCAAAAGGCAACCTGCCGAAAGGTACCAACCAGTCAGATCAATGCATTATTATATCATAATAATTATTATTATTATTATTGCTCTTGTTCTTACTCATTTTCTACTTGTATTCGCAGAAGACAGAGTTCTGAAAGAGATACAAGAAAAAAGTATGTCGACTTGTTTCAATCAAATGTGATGCTTTCTTATGATTGACTAACTCTTTGATTTCGTTGTAGATAAATCCTCAAAGGAGGAGCAATCAAAAGGTGAACCTCTACTGACAAAATAAAATAATAAAAAAAGAATACGGTGTTTTTAACATCACTCTACTTTCTCAGTGGACTCTGATGACTTTGTTCCGGAAGGTGAGTACGAGATGCATTCGGTGATGTCCATCACGAGACAGCATGTGACGTCATGTGTTATGATGTGACGTCACGTGACCCGAGTGTGCCCTGACTGCGCCCACAGACGAGCTGCCCTACTTCCAGTGTTTCTTCGTGGATGAGGACGAAGCCCAGTTTCCCTTCTTCGCATTCTCGCCGCTGCAGGTCTGAAGTGGACCAGCAGATGGCGCCCATGTTACAGAGCCCAACAACTGAGTGGAGCGAGGGATTGTGGGTAATTCTTGCCATTTGGACAGAGACATTTTAGTTCGCATTTGGTTGAGGTCTCCTACCAATTATGTGCAATCCATGTCATTCCTTGTTTTTTTTAGTAATCTTTTTCAGATTTTTTTTTCGTTTTTTTTTTCCCGCATTTTTTGTTCTTTTATTTTTTTTATTAATTTATGTAGTTATTAATTATTCCTGTTTTGGTTATTTTCTGTATTTTTTTGTTACCTTATTTTTAGTTATTTTATTCATTTTCATTTTTAGTTATTTTCGGCTATTTTCATTTTTATCAATTAACCATCTTCTTTTTGTTTATTAGTTATCTTATTCTATTTTTGATTTAATTTGTTTTGTAGGTAAATTTATGTCATCATTAATTTTTTTCGGTCTGTTGTTTTAGTTTTGTTGTATTTTTTTTTAGTTGATCCATGATGTGGTTACTTTTTAATTATTTTTATTTTATTTGTAGCTTTTAATTTGTTGTTATTTATGTTGATTATATTTTTTTCCCCATTATTTTCAATTATTCTACTAAATTTATCCTATTGGATTGTCTTTATTTCAGTTATTTTATTCACTTTTTAAGGTATTTTACAATCTGGAATATCAGATGATAATCGATGAAAAACAATCCAAATTCTGTTTTCGTAAAAGAAGTTATTTTGCTTGTTTGAGTCAAATTGTGTGATGGCTTATTTGTTTGTAGTTGTTTTATTTATGTTCCATCCATTTTATTTGAGTTGTTTTAAATCCATGGATTATTGATGACTAATGACAATAATACGACACACACACATCACCTGCAGGGCAGAGATGGCATCTGGAAAGCTGACATTCCCTGCGCACTTCCAACGGAAAAAAAAGCGCCACTTTATCGAGGAGACGTGATATCTGTCGAGCGAACATTTTCGCCGGAGTTTAATTGTAGAACAGACGTGGCATCTGTAAAACTGCCGTTCGAGGTCAGCTTTTTCGAGCATGCCTGGTATCAGAAAAGCTGACATTTTTTTTGATGGCGCTTAGTAATAGAAAAAAAACATGGCATCTGTAAAGCTGATATCTATGCTGGACTTTTTTTGTGGAAATGATGTCATTTTCTTGTGGTCAAACATTTTTGGGGGTTTTGTTTTTATTTGTTTGACACATACAAATCTACATCATTTTTTTTTGTGCATGCATTTCCATATTATGTGGTTGCTTTTTTTTTTAAATCATAATGGTAATGACAATAAGTGGGACACGTCTTGTGTTCGTGAATGGCGCTCGGGGTTGTGTTGTTTCGTTTCAAATGGCCCGCAACTGCCAATGTTTTGCAATATTTCTCCAGAGATGAATATATTGAGAATCAATTTCATGAAGTGTTGTCTATATATTTGTTCGATTAAACTCGTGCAATAAGGGAGCTCAAAGCTACCTGAAGTCTGAGAGTTGAAATGAGAAGTAACAGGGGGGGACGATGTACGGATGATATAAAAAGTCAACACACCCCTGTTCTCGTGCCAGATTTTTGTCACGTAAAAGAGAGAGAGCGAAATCAACTCAGTCTCAGTTGTTACTTCCCCTCTTAAAATGATGGCATTTATTTATTTATGTGTTTTAGAAGTTATAGGTGGGGAAAATTTTTTGAAATGATTTATTTTATATATACACACACACACACATTACAGAGACATGGCATTTGAACAGAGATGTGTAGACTTTGTAAAAAAAAAAAAAAATGTTGGACCCCCCCACTGAGGATAGTAAGAGAACAGCATGATTGTGACTGCTCATTGTGCTTGGATTTGGCATTCAATAAAAGAGTCACGCAAGTGTTTCGTCATGTGGAGTTCTGGATTTCTCGCATTCAAAAATAAATAAATAACTTTTTTTTTTTTATGGTAATACAGGTATTTTAATCACTTTAAATTGTTCAAACAGACTCAAGTTACCGTAAAAAAACAAAAAAAAATGTTATGTAAATGACTGAATCTATTTTTTTTTTTTTAATCATTTTACTTGGGTTTTACAATTGCTTTACCCTTCAAAATGCTTGGTCAAAAAAACAAAAACAATTTGGGTCAAAAATAAAAACTGGGTCAAATTGACCAAGTTGTCCAGTTTTTGACCAAGCAGTTTTTAAAGAAGTTTTGTACAAATCTAAAATTGTTCAAAATTTAGAATTATTACATCTATGCTAATTTCATGAGCCGGTCAATGACGTTTTGTCTTGTGCATTAGCATCAAGCTAGTGCCCTTTTGTAAATCGAAACAATGTAGTTTGTCTAAATACATGGTGTAAGTTTCTTTTATTTTCGACGTTCGTCGTCACCTCCAACTGGGAGTGGCACCAAACTGTTTGAAGCGAGCGCATTTCTGAAGAACAGTTCTGTCGGGGCTTGAAGTGAAGAAGACACTTAATTGCGGTCATGTAAAAAAAACAAAAACGTTTTGTGATGATATATTCATTCACCCTTTCCTTTTTCTTTATTGTGTCTTACTTAACCCTCTTGGCTCGTTTTATGACAAACTTTTTGGCAGAGTAATCAATCAAAATCAATGAAGCCTGCGTCGAGGCGGAGTTCCACTCCAGTCGGCGCACGTCCTTTCTTTGTGCGATCAGAGCAAAGTTGGCAGCGGCAAGAAAAGAGCTCCCCCGCGGTCCAATACGATTCACGCTGCCGAGGATGACGGATGACGTCACTAAATCGAGCTTCAACTTGTCCGTGGCTCTTCTTTTGTGTTGCGTTTTCCAATGCGCATTGAGCGCATCAGGCCAGTCGCTCAGGGTTGGTCGGCACCATCGCATGTTGCCTCCGCGTCATGACACCACGGCCTAAATCGGATTAGTGACATCAGCGTGTGTCGATTCCGCAGGGTTCACTGCAGGTCGTTCACGCCGCCCGGTCGCGCTGGCCTCTGCAGCTGTCACCTGGCAGAGGCACAGGGGCCGCCCTGTCCGCTCTGTTTTTTTTTTCCAATCGGCTGTGCGCACATCGACACAATCATGACTGTGACGTTGTTCGTTTCACCCTTTTTCTAACGACACAGTGAGGCTTTTATTTGGCCGAGTCAGACCATATTAACCCTTGAAAGCTCCTGTCTCACAACATACGGACTCTCCCTTGTCAGTCACGAGGCACCCAATGCGGAAGAACCCAATGGGGAACAGATTTATTTTTGCTTCATGCTTTGAATGAGAGATTCACTCTTCAAATCTTCCCAAGTGAAAGCGGTGAAATTGTAGTTTGTAGCTTAAGAGGCGACGTTTGTTTATGCTGAGATCATTGCCGGAAGAAAATTGGCATTTATTTCCATGGAACATTTCGCTGCATGCTTTGAATGGGTAAAAAAATAATAATAAAGTAGGGCTGGACGATTCGGCGGATTCAAATGGACATCGCAATGCGGGAGAATGCAATTTACAAGTGGCAAATTGAAAAAAAATGAAGATGCTTCAGTTAGTAAGCTTTATTTTTCTTTATTTTACATGGATGTTGTGGTCGCGTCTCGCTCGAAACAGTAAGTTCAGTGTACTTAAAAAGTGCCGTTGCCATTTTTTGAGAGAAAAGTTGAAGTGACAATGAAACCGATGCTTGCAATATTTTTGTTGTGTATTTCTTGTATGCAAGATTTTAAAAAATAAAAAACATCACAGTAAGTATTGTGTAATAACAACTCAACAATTATATTTTGGGGAAAAAGATGAGCATCCACAAATCAAATCCAGGTACAGCACTCCACAGATTTTGAAGTGAAATAATCCCGCTTCTGAAGTTGGATGCATTACAACTCTAATGTCGAATATATATATATTTTTTTCCATACATGAACGAAAAAAAGAGAGCGCAAGTTACCGAATGTAACTCGGGACAAATGTTTTTTTGTGTCACATGGTACAAAATGCCACCAGGCTCTCTCAAGGGTTAATCTGGAGCAAAGAGTGGGTCCCGCCGAAAATATTCAACAATCAACATTTTGCTTTATTGAAACATTTGCAGGTTAAATGCTCTTCAACATTTTCCTTTCAATTTTTAAAACCCCAATGACTCCAAATGTTTCACGCTGCCGTCTAACAGGTTAAAACACGATTGGAAGTGCAAACAATCACATAAAAACAGCAAAGCGTTCCTTGCGAACCAACGGTCGTAAAAATTAGGCTTTCTCATACGTGCGCACGGCCTCGACGCCGTCAAACGTCAAAGTCTGCGGAAAAAAAACAACAATAAGGGAGCTCAAAGCTACCTGAAGTCTGAGAGTTGAAATGAGAAGTAACAGGGGGGGACGATGTACGGATGATATAAAAAGTCAACACACCCCTGTTCTCATGTCAGATTTTTGTCACGTAAAAGAGAGAGAGCGAAATCAACTCAGTCTCAGTTGTTACTTCCCCTCTTAAAATGATGGCATTTATTTATTTATGTGTTTTAGAAGTTATAGGTGGGGAAAATTTTTTGAAATGATTTATTTTATATATACACACACACACACATTACAGAGACATGGCATTTGAACAGAGATGTGTAGACTTTGTAAAAAAAAAAAAAAATGTTGGACCCCCCCCCTGAGGATAGTAAAAACACAGCAAGATTGTGAC